GAATAAGAATAAAAAGGTATAAAAAACAAAGTTTGTTTAAATAAGAAAAAAAAAAAATTCAGACTCAATTCCTTTTTTTTTGGCAACGCCGTTGATTATTTTCTACAGCAACTGATTCATCAGTCTTGTAAATGATAGATTCAAGGCACTCTCCTATTTTTTTTTTTTTTTTTTTTTTTTTTTTTTGCAAATCTAAATTCATGTGTGCTCACTTAAAGTAATTTGGATGTCTCGGCCTGTTGAAAACTGGTACGTGTGTAAACGCTTGTTCTTTTTTGACTTTACATATTAAGAAAGTACTCCAGGCTCGAACTTCGTTTTTGGTGAAGTTATAAAGAATCATGACGTTTCCCCTTATTCAAAGGCCATCCCGCGCATGATGAGGCAGAGCAAAAAAAAATTGTCGTCTTTGATGCAAAGGACCTTGTGTCTACTATTGGGTTGGTGAATGGGGTCGACAGGTCTAACAACAAATATTCAATAAAAACTGGTAAGGCTTTCAAAGTCGATAAGAGTAGTATTACCAGCAGTGTTGGAAAATCATTAAAACCCACAGTCACATGTCCCCTTTTCTCATTTTACTTACGTAATCTGAAGTTGTCTTTTTCTTACCCTGGCTATCATCCCCATAAACATTTTTTTTCTTTAAAAAATTACGTTTATCTATTAACATGGTATTGCTACATCTATTTATTTATGTATAGGTTGTTTTTATAGAGATTTGAAAATTTGGCTTTGCGATCAGCGATCAAAAAATCAAAAATATCGGAGATATCGATATTTTCGATTTTTTGAGCGATATCGCCAATATCGATCAAAAAAAACATTTTGATTGCTGATTTATTTTAGGGTGTATCAATAATTTTGTACGCAAACACAAACAGCTGAAACGACAGGTGTCTGTAAGTATTTCATGCAAGTGCTTTTTTCTGTGAATGTAGCTCAGAGCTTCTTTGTTTGGTGCAAAGAAGGTCTGTTGTGACAGCCCCAATGATGTTGAAGCGCTAAAGGAAGAAAAGCTTGGAATTTGTAAGGGTTCACTTTGGTTTCTGATTTTTATGCAAAATAATTAGAACGCTGGTTGCTACTGATGGGGGCATAGGCTAAATATAGCTACAGAGTAAATAAGGCTTTCTAGACTCAAATATTTATTGAAATGTCTTTTGTTTTCTTCATTACCCCAACTTCGCTCTTCAATGCTTTCGGCATTAGTGCTAAGCGTAATGCTCTTGTTTTTTCATCTAACTTAATAAATTTTTAGTGTTACTACTTACACACTTTACTAATGAATGTTTCTTAGTTATAAAAAAATTGGTTTTGTTCATTCAAGGGATGAAGCTGCTTTTCCTCTTTTTGTAGAATAAAAAGGATATTGCGAGCATGTATGTAAGTTTGGCTTCATTCTACCCTCATCAAAAAAAACAAAATATTGCAACCTTACTTACTCGTTATTATTAATTAGATACGTCTTTACTCAAATTTATCGCCCCTCCCCCCTTCATGGCACTTGCGTTGTATTTAAAGAACTCTTAGTATTTACATGTATCCTTCAATCATGTAGGGATATTTGATTTGACTCGGTTCAAGTAAGCTTTATTTTATACTTCTTAGTCACGTATCTAAACCTCTTTTTTATTCAAAGCATTCAATCAAAGTACTCTAGATCAGCATTAAATTCTTTCCGATCTTGTTTTGAAACAAATGAGTACTATTCAACATATTTATTGCCATCAACAGGTCAGTTTTATCTTTTTTTAAGGTAAGCATTGATATCTAGTTAGGATTGTAAGTGTAGTTCGAAATAATGATGCCGCACGTATTTTTAGTTGATTATCAATTTTGATAAATCGCCATTTTAAACTTGGATTGGGAAATAAACTGAACAGCCTCATTGGTTGGAATTGTTTCTCTATATCTCTATGCGTACTTGAGCCTCTTCCATGACGGATTTGATCCCTCACTTTGTTGCAATAAATTGGACTGTTGTAGTAGAGTCAATGGTATTGGTATTACTCCTATTGCTTGTTGGTTCACGCCAATTATTGATTCGTATTTTGAATAGATGTCTACAAACTGACATTATACCAATATAAGCTTAACTCAATGTCACTTTCGTGATAGGAGCTGGTGGTAGATAATTTTTGATATCTACAATCAACGGGTTCAGAAATGTTCGAATTTTGTCTTGCGCTTCTTTACCCAATATGTTCCGGCAAAGTTAATAGTTGCATGTTAAACAAGATCTCTAATATATGACCGTAAACAATAGATTTAAAATAAGGGATTCTCAAGTCCTATGTATTGTTAAAACCAAATTTTGCAGACATAGATATATTTTTAAAAAAAAGAATTTGCCTGAAATTTAGTACGGATCATTATAAAATAGTTACCGACAGCATTTTTAAAAAATTTAGATTTAAGAGTCGTTGTAGCAAGTTGCAACATTTTCACACACGGAGGCTAGTAATTGACCATAGTTGGTAAAACACTCCTTTTTGACAAGCATGGTTATACTTTCAAGACCGCTGAGTTCCGTTCATATTTCTTCAAGATGAGGAATATGCGAAATTTACTTTTGTTTAAAGCTAGCAATTGATATATTTTTATTTACAAGTCGACAAAATGAATACAGAAGTTTTTTTTTTTTTTTTTTTTTTGGAAAAACTCGTTCGGAAAGTCAGCTGGGTATTTGAGAATATAATAGTTTATAAAGAGCTGTGCCCTGTACATCACATTTCTAAGAAGCATAGACAAACTCTTGATTTTTTCAAGAGTGTTGTTAAACGCATCATTAGATATGGGGGAAAATGATCGAAGTGGTATAGATACTGTGTATCTTTGATAATTATAAAGGCTAATCTTGTTTCAATTGTTTCTTGTATAACGAAATTAAGATGGCTTCTCGCAGATAGATCCCCGCTTTCACCACATGATTTGCAGGATATAGCTGCTTTTCTAAGGTTTAAATTGCGTTCCTGTTTTGCTGCATTTTTCTTCTAGAGTATCCTTCTGTTTTATACCTTATAAAGACCTAAGCTTAACTGTTACATTATTTACACATATTTCATAGATTTTACCTTTTTTTTTTCTTTGGCTTGGCCTCTGAAATTATTGTGTGCTGATGTCGCTTATTTTTATTGCTGCTATAGCTTTTCGTATAAATGTTACCTTGTTAGTTTTATGAAGCCTTCAGTATCTGCATAAATTGGGATACGAATAAAGGATATAATATAAGGAAAGAAATGAAGATATTATCAAAAAATTGTTGTTGAAATGATATATGTTGTGGATTTAAAGGACTGTTTGTTGTAAATAAGGTTTAGAAAATGGAATAAAATGATAAAAAAAAAAGAAAAACAGCGATCTATTTTATATTCCAAAAAACGAAAAGAAGAAAATTAAGGAGCATCTGCCATGCTTGCTACGATTATTGATATTATTTTTTGTTTGTCTAAGTTCATATGGTGCATCTTTTTTCAATAACTGATACGTCGAAAGAGACTATATCTGTCAAGTTGTTAATAAATGTAGGCTAAAAAGATAAAACCGTTGCAAACCCCTTCACGATGGTTCTCTTGATGCTACTGCCCGAATTGAAGGAATCATTGAACTTTAACATTTGAGGTATATTTTGATAGGAAGAACAAGTAAAGATCCTCCGTTATGGCATTTTTTTTTCTCTGTAAATAAAATACCATCTTGAATCAGTACATGTTTTTTTTATCGCGAAATCATTCACCATTTCGTTTTGAAATGATGCAGATAGTGCATATTTTTGTTTAATAACTGTATGTATATTCGTAAATATCAACATAAGGACAATTGCTTTTTTGTGTTGCGATAGGCTTTTACTATAAAAATAGCAATCATCCGTTCCATAGAATGTTTTATAAAGGCCAGTTTATTTGCCAGATTGAGAATTCAGTGCCGAATTCTAAGCTACATGTACAATTGGCTTTTTCCTTATAATAAAAAAAAATGTATCGACATCTATATATACATACACAAATGCAGGTATTTTATTATATATTTTATTTCTTAGGGTACATACTAAAGGCACCATCGCCAAAGTATTTCTCTCCGCGTTTTTCTTTTGTTTTTTCAACTTGGGCTGTAGGATCAATTAATTCCATACTCTGAGCTGGTGTGAAAGCCAAAGATGACGCTAAACCTGATGTAGCTGTACCAGAAAGACGGTTACTGAAACTCTTGAGCTTAGGTGCTTTGACTGCGATAAAGGAGAAAAAAAAAAGGATTAAGACAGGCGCATAAAAAAATAAAAGATAAAAAAATGCTTACCCTTATTTCTCTGATCTGCCACGGAAGCTCTAATTTTACCGATTTGCTTCGCAGCCATACCAAGACCCTCTGTCTCATCACCATAACCAATTTCCTCCTCAGCATCACCAAACGCCATTCTATTACGAGCAGCACGCAACTCTGTCATTGCGTAAGCTTCCTTTTGTCTTCTAGCTCTCTTACCACCTCTTCTCTTTTTGGGCCCTTCATCAGGAATCGGCAAAGCTTTCACGACTTTAAGGGAAGGATTTTCCTGTAATTTATCTATTTTGGCATCAATCTCTTCTCTCATCTTTTGTCCTTCTTGACCATCGGGTGCGCTATGACTGGCATCAATACGTGCAGCCAGCGAGGCCTTGGCGGAAATGATCTTTACTAATTTTCTACGGAGCTCCTGAGGTGCTGAATTGACAATCTCGGAATAATAGATATAACCTGCATGTCTTTCCGTATGTGCTGTAGAAAAACCTGTATTCGCCTTTTTATTGTTACCGAGTACCTGTACATTACACGCAGGAATTTTACAAAACGCGGTTAATCCACCTGCGGCCGTCAGTAATTTTGCGGCAGTGGATGTGCCAATGACGTTGGATAGATTAGGTGCGATGACTGTCATACGGGATTCGACATAATTCATAATCTTCTTTCGAGCATCGTCTAAAGCTAATGCCATATCACACGCTTCTTCTGTCAATGCCCATTCCTCTGCTGATAATTCTTTACCGGCTGTAGTCGAAGCTGTAACCGTAATGACCATGACGGTGGCAGAAGGTAAAAATTGTCGAAGGTCTACTTTGGTGACATCTAACTCATTAGCAATAGCTTTGACAGTACGTGCGTAATCGAGTGGGTTATAAACAAGTGTTTCAAGTTCGGGAAACTTTGTTGCGTAGTGGTCTTTAATAAACTACTTGTTGGTGGTTAGCTTTCGGCCTGTGTATCCTTTCCTTTCTTTTTTCCCCATTTACCTTGTGAACGTGTTGGATCTCGTTATCGATTTCAGCAGTCATGCTGTTGGATTCTACAATAAGCTTATATTCATCGTCTTCTTCTGTGGGACCGACAACTTGAGATGCGTTGCGATTAGCAGCAATAAAGTAATCGATTTTCTATTTATCAATTCGTTATTTTTTTTGCTCCACTGTTGCCCTTTAAAAGTATGTATTACCTTTAAAACATCTTGGGTGTGTTTGGAGTAAAGTAATTTGCATGTCTTGCGAACACTGTTGGGATTCTCTTCGAGGTTGTCTTGAGAATTTTTGGAATCCATCTCAATGTCTCCTTCATTATCTCGTAATTTATCTAAAGCTTCTTGTTCTTCATCAATATCTGATCTTTGTTCCTCCTCCTCATCAGAAGAAAAGTCAAGATCGGCTGCGAGTTCGTCTGCAAGAGTAGCCATTTTAAATATAAATGTGGTATTAAAACACGAAACAAACAACAAAATGGGAGAGCTGGTAAAATGTATAAAAAAAAAAGTGACTTGTTTTATTAGAATGCATAAATTAGTAATTTCTTCTTCCAGAAGATTGTTGACTTCGTTGTTCATTTTCTTGAAGCGAAGTAATGAATTCGGTCATTGTATCCACCTGCCTTTGATAGTTGGATTCGGTGGTGGCCAACATATCTTGCACATTTTTGATATTTTTGTTTAGCTTTTCAATCTCTGCTACCATCATTTGCTTATCCTTTTCTTCCTTGGCCAATCTTTCCTTCATTGACTTGTACATGGATGCAAATCGAACGGCTTTACTATCTGTCATTTGAATTTTTTCTGTTAGGTTATTGATTTGGTGCTCATAATATACTTTGAGTTTCTCTTCTCGGAGTAGTACATCCTTTTCATCATATTGTTTGGATGTAAGTGGGGGTGTAGGTGTAGCCGTAGAGGGTGTGTCCACCGCATCCATGCCTCTGTAAACAAACACCTCCTCATCCTCATCCTCTTCTTCTTCTACCTTGGGTAACTTTTCTTGTTTTGGGTATACAAACACTTCTTCGTCTTCCTCTTCAGCCTTGTTATTGATGGTATTGTCGACAGTTTCTTCCGGCTTGGTTTTCTATTTTTATTTTCACATAAGTATTCTGAAGTATTATTAAGTGGCAATGTTCAAATGCCCATCATACCTTCTGTTCAATTTCTTGCTGTAGCAACTTGTTTTCTTGTTCAAGATTATCATTCATAGCTTGTAAATCAGCAATTTGTTTTAATCCGATTTGTTTGTTTGCCTCAATCGTGGATAGTAAATCAGTAATTTCTACTGTCTTTTTATTGATCTTTTCATCAAACTCTGCTTGTTGAGTAGCTACTTGCTTTTGATACAGCTCATTTTGTTCCTGATACTGTTTGTTTCTCTCCTCATACTGAATATTTTGTTCCATCAACAGATCTTTTTGATCAGATAATTCCTTTGTGTTTTGGGTGTGTTGATTTATCTTCTCTTCATACTGTTGATGCGTCACTTCCAATTGCTTTACTGCCTCTGTGGAGAGTTTCAACTTTTCGTCCAACTGCTGATATTTATCTTGCTCCTGTTTGAGCTGCTCAGCATGTTGCGCCAATTGATCCTCATATTGTTTCTGTTGTTGAAGATTCATGTCTTCGTATTTCTTGATTTGTTCCTGACTCTTTTCTTCCAGCTGTTTTTGCAACAAGGTCAAGTCGACATCTGGATGGTCTGCCTTTTCTAATAACAAGGCGTCCAATTCCTTTCTGGTTTCTTCCAGTTTTTGTACAACTTGGGATAGTTCTTGGGAAAATGTTTGTGTGGAAATCATTAATTTATCTGCAATTTCTGCCGATAGTGCGTTTAAATTTGACTAAATAAAAATTTGGGTGTTTGGGTGTGAATATTCAAATATTAGATAGAAGGGGGAATGCCTTACCTTGTCACCGGAAAAGTATTGTTTTGCTTGTTCTTCCAGAATTTTCAAGGCCTCGGATGCTTCAGGTACAATGTCATATAACTTTGTGGATTCTTTCAAATCACCCACCTTGGATAATAGAATAGAACGTAAGCTTTGTATTTCAGATAGCATTTGGTGATTATTTTGCTGAATTTGTTGATCCTTTCCTTGTAATAAATCGGTTTTCCTAAATGGTTAAATGAAGTTTTTTTTTAATTTATATTGTGCATTGGCATATTTCTCTTTCTCTCTCATTTTGTTTACTCTTTAAGTTGTGCTTTTAAAGCATCCATTTCCCTCAACATATTTAGATGTTCTGTATCATCTGTCTTGGCAATGGTGGGTTTCGACTCTGACATAATATTAGCGTTTTCATCCTGAAGTTCTTGTACACGTTTCTCCAAATCTTGGATTTGCTTCAACAGGATGTTGATGTTGTCAGTAAATTCGAATTTACTATCTGTCAATTCCTCATGAAGTCTCTCATTCTCTTCAATTTTTCTTTCCAAATCCAAATTGGCTTCTTCCAATGCCTGAGCATTCTTTTCCAGCTCCTTCTTAACTGAACCTCCGAGTATTGAAAAATGTGTTCCTTTCTATTTTAAGACCATGTGGTTTCAATAAACTTTTGTCAAATGATTACTTTTTTTTTCTTTCTTACCTGGTCACTATCTTGTACAGCTTGAATACGCTTGGTTAATCGCTCATTGTGAAAAGCCAACAGATCTAATTGTTCTTGCAACTGATGGATACATGAGTTCAATCGTCCCTATAACAATAAAGTTGACGATATTACCTTTCGCATCTCTTTTTCCTTTTCTTTGACATTGCCTTGAAGTGCAACATTGGAAGCTCGTTCCTATACAAATATGTCGTTTCAATACCCACTGTTTTCCCTGTAAACATGCTTTCATTCAACTTTTATTTTTTACCTTGATGACAGCCTTTTTCAATACTGCATATTTTGCTTTCAAACTACAGAAAAAAAAAACACCATTAGCAACTGTTCTTTTTTGTAACAGTTCACTTGTCTGCTTACCGAGAGTAGTCTTGAAATAATCCAAGATATTTTTGAGATAACTCTTCTGCCGATGCAGGAATGGCTCCTACAAGATAAGTATCCGATTAGTCACTCCTAATAGACCTGAACAAAAAAAAAGAATAAAATTTTATACTATGGTTTGTAACTTACCTGCATTCAAAGCTGCGTTTCTAGAAAACATACCGTCACTCATATTGAAGAAAAGAAAGAGAGAGAGAGAGAGAGAGAGAGAGACACAGGTACCCAAAAAAAGAGAGAGAGAGAACACAGAAAACACGCTTTGAAAGTCCGGATCGAAAAAAGGGACCTTGCCGGAGCTGAATCATCATCAACTAAGTTGCGTGCCACTGTTAAATGATGTAAGCCTATACACAATGAAGAAATTATGCAAAAAAAAAAAAAAAAATGGGATTCGGCTAAACAAGCATGAAAATAGTTGGTTTAATCGATCGTATGAATACCCTTTTTAATGAGCCACACAAATGTCGTTGTATGAGTTCAACAGTGGTCTATTTTTAAACTGTCAATATTTTTGCATACTTTCTTTTCTAGTCTTGTAGATACGCGCAAGGGGTCGTAAGCTATTACCAGGATGAAGAAGCTGTATATATACTAGTTGCTTGAATATAGGGACCAGAACTAAACATCCGCAATCGGGGATAGTACATGTATAACTGCAAGCATAAGAATTCAAGTCTAGACACTGTCATCGTTTGGAAGGGGTGTAGAGTGAGCTACACAAAAACTTGTCCTGCATATTCGGATTTCATTTATCATTGCAAAGTGCTGTTTTTTAGAAGAATGACAGCTTCTTTTGCAAGATATAAGAGGCGAATTCTAAAATAAACCCTCAATAGGTGATTACTCACATACACATGCATGGCGTGTAATGCGACCAGTTTATACAACAGAACAATGAAAGACACATTTATTTTTTTACGTTTCTGTTTTCAAATAGTCTAATCTATCGCTCTTTTGTGAACGCGCACTAAGGGGGGGGGGAGGGGGTTAGATAGCGGCGTTAGAAAAGAAAACTTGATTTTATCGTTAGATACAAAACGCTCTTATTATAATTCAAGCCGAAAAAAAAAACGCCATGTATCTTATATCACGCGAAAAAAAAAAGGCCTACACCATTCTATATGCATTTTAAAAAACGTTTGTTTAAATATCAAAGTCTTAATGTAAAACATTTATTTTCATCCTGTTATTTTTTTTTTTTTTCGATTGATCTCCTAACGGCAGAGGATCAAACAGGTCCTAAAATGTCTTATCAGTTGCCCTCTTTTTTTTTTCGGAACGATAACTGTAATAATGAAAGTAAGAGCTATTTACAGATTGCTTATTGGGAGTATTCACACAGAAAGGGCAGATCAGAAATCGGGTGATTGATAGGTCCTCTAAAACAGTTGTTATCACAACAAGATATTTCTCACGATGGAGCCAATCAAATAAGCTCGTTCCTGCATTTTTCTTTATTAGAGTTTCATATTTTCTTTGTATATAAAAACCAGTGATTTTGTTATTTTCCATTATCCTTTCTTTTATATTCACATTTTTATTACTTCAAAAAAAATGACTGGTACACATGTATCCCCATCGGAAGAATTAGACAAGAATTTGAAAAGTGCCAAGTCGCATACGATTGGTGATTTGGGGTATAATGCAAACGTGTTTGCAGGAAAAAATGATCAAATGGTTCAAGTAGGTGAATATTTAAATAACTCTGGTTTCTTACCAAAGGAGTTGGTGCAAAATGAAGTTTCCTGGTTTTACGGGTAATTAAAAAAGAAAAGGCTGTACTAAAAAGAAAAAAGAAAAAAGAGAGACATACTCAAATTTTTGTTGTCAATGAAATAGTAATCTTGGTATCGATGACTACTACTTTGCCCTGGAATCCGTGGAGACCATCGCAAACCATATCATGGCTCTTTATGGTGCTAAAATATTAGCCTTTACCAAGAACGAGAATGTCTTGGATATCAACCTTGAAAAGGAGTCCGAAGATTCTTCCGTTTATATTCACTCTTCTCAACCTGGTGTCTCTCAATTGACCGGACCACAATGTGAAAGAAAGTAAGTGTATTAAATCGCGTCATATGAAAAGGAAGGTATTAAAAGTCTTATTTTCTCTACAGAATTGATGAAAAGTATTTGGATACATCAGCCACTTCGGATGCTTATCGTGTCGAATCCTATCGTTCAAGTACTACCGTTCCTAGTGGACAAACCACCTCTCAGCTACGTTGTTACTTTGTGACCAAGTGTCAATTTAATAGTCCTTCTCCCACTCCCGAGCAAGAGACTGATATTAATGAAGTCGCTGATCAAAGTTTCTTGAAGAAGGCCACTGAACACACCCGTAATATCTATCAAGATGTTATCTGCAATGTACTTCAGCGAACCGGTCCAGTCATTGAAATGTATGATGTGCAAGGCACACGCGAACGTCGTTTGATTATTGGTTATCGACAAAGAAGTACACAGGGATTCTTTTCTGCTATGTCTGATCTTTATCATTACTATGGTCTTTACTCCAGCCGAAAATATGTTGGTAAAGTTGTTTGTTTATTTGTTTATATGTAAAATTTAATCCTGACCCCTCCCATCTTAGAACAATTTTCAAATGGTGTTACCATCATGGGTTTGTACCTCAACCCTTTGCCAAATACAAGAAAAGCTCCTATCGAACACACCATCTATCAAGTTATGAAGGAAACCTCACTCTTGTACTGTTTGCCTAAAAACCCACTCCAACAATTCTTTATGACAAACAAACTCTCTGTACAGGAAACCGTATATGGTTATGTGGGTTGGATCTTTTCGCAGCACTTCCTGAATCGTCTGGGTAAGGAGTACCTCAGTTTAACTCATATTCTTGATAATGCCAACCCCTTACATGAGGAGGTGCTTTCCAAGATGAAGAAGCGTTTAAGACAAGATACTTTCACCCGTGAATACATTCTGGATATCGTCAAGCAATATCCTGACTTGATCAAGTTACTTTATGCTCATTTTGCCAAAGTCCATTATGTCAATCAACGCGAAGCCTCACTTCAGCCTACTATCTCTTATCAACGTTTGACCACGGTTGAGAATTTATCTGAAGAACAATTACTCAAGAAAATCAAGTCTGTCACCTCCAACAGTCATGAACAATTGGTGTTTGAATCTTTCTTGACTTTCAACAAACATGTACTCAAGACCAACTTTTATCAAACTACCAAAGTAGCTCTCTCGTTCCGTATGGATCCCAGTTTCTTACCCGAGATTGAATATCCAACTCCACTCTACGGTATGTTCTTGGTTGTTGGCTCAGAGTTCCGTGGTTTCCATCTCCGATTTAGTGATGTTGCGCGTGGAGGTATTCGTATGATCCGGTCTCGTAACAGAGAGGCGTATTCCATCAATTTGCGTACCTTGTTTGATGAGAACTATGCACTTGCCGCAACACAGCATCGAAAGAACAAAGATATTCCTGAAGGTGGATCGAAAGGTACCATCTTACTCGACATTGACCAACAGGATAAGGCTCTTGTTGCATTCGAAAAATATGTGGATTCAGTGCTTGATTTGCTCATTGATGGCCAGACCATTGGTATCAAGGATAAATTAGTGGATTTGACCGAAAAGCCCGAAATTCTCTTTTTTGGTCCTGATGAAGGTACAGCGGATTACATGGATTGGGCGTCTCAACATGCACGTCGTCGTAACGCTAGTTTTTGGAAGGCCTTTACCACAGGTAAAAGTCAATCGTTGGGTGGTATTCCTCATGACTTGTATGGTATGACAACTCGGTCTGTGCATCAATATATTTTGGGTATCTACCGCACTTTTGATATCAAGGAAGAAGACTGTACCAAATTACAAACAGGTGGTCCAGACGGTGACTTGGGATCCAACGAGATCAAGATTTCCAAGGATAAAACTATTGCCATTGTGGATGGCTCGGGTGTCCTTTATGATGCTGTCGGTATTCATCGCGAAGAATTGACTCGTTTAGCAGATGCTCGTTTGATGATCAGTAGTTTCAATCTCGAAAAATTATCCCCTCAGGGCTTCCGTGTGCTTGTGGATGAAGATAACGTGACTTTACCCAATGGAGACATCGTTGAAAATGGCTTGATTTTCAGAAACACGTTTCACACAAATCCGTTGGCGCAAGCTACATTGTTTGCTCCCATGGGAGGTCGCCCTGAATCTGTTGGTCTGGACAATGTACATAATTTAATTGAAGGAGGTAATGGACCCTTGTTCAAGTACATTGTGGAAGGTGCCAATTTGTTCTTTACACAAGAGGCTCGTCTCCGTCTCGAAAAAGCTGGTGTAACGATCTTTAAAGATGCGTCGGCAAACAAGGGTGGTGTGACATCGTCTTCATTGGAGGTACTTGCAGCACTTGCATTTAACGATACCGAATTTGAAGAACACATGTGTGTGAAGAAAGGTCAACCTATTCCGGTCTTTTATGAAGCCTATGTCAAAGAAGTACAGGATATCATTGAACGTAATGCCCGTCTTGAATTCGAAGCTCTTTGGGAAGAACACACCAAGACCAATACGGCCATTTCCATTCTGTCCGACGAACTATCAAACGCGATTGTACAATTGAACGAACAACTTCAATCGACGGGACTTTGGGATAATGCCGGTTTACGTGAAACCGTACTGAAGCGAGCGTTTCCTAAATTATTATTAGACAAATTGGGTTTGGAAACCTTATTAGAACGTGTACCTGAAAACTATGTGAAGGCCATTTTTGGTGCCTCTTTGGCTTCTCAGTTTGTTTACAAGTATGGACCTCATCCCGACAATTTTGCTTTCTTTGAGTTTATGCGCGCCAACTATTAAAGAAATAAATAAACAATTTTTTATTATTATTATTATTTATTACGTGGGTCTGCAAAGACCTCCTATTATCATATTTTCTACTCTAGACAACATAGAACCTAATTTTTTTGTGTGAGGTGAGGCGCTGTTTCTAATATTGCCGTCAATTCTGTTTCAACATCCGTCAAACGTGTTTATAAAACCAACAGTTTTTTTTTTAACTTGCTTCTTTTTCCTTATTTTCACTCAATAAAAAAAAACTTTTATTTATAATGGTTGCCATCAAGTTGCAAAAGGAAGAAAACAGAGAAGCTTTCCTCAAGGTTTTCCCTACTCTCGCTGAAGAAGTCCTTGCCGAACTTCGCAAGTACAACATGCCCGAGGATGCCTACGAATGGACCAAGAAGGTAAAAAAAAAATATATATATACAATGTCATCATCATCTCACCTATTATTTCACTCATGGCAGATGTTGTATTACAATGTCCCCGGTGGTAATGACCGATACTATTTTTTTTACCAAGTCAGACCCCCCGTTGTCTAACCTTTACTTTTATCTAGGTAAATTGAACCGTGGTATCTCTGTTGTCGACACCGTCCGTATCTTGAAGGGTGATACCGTTACTGAAGATGATATCTTTAAGGCCACCGTTTTAGGTTGGATGATTGAATTCGTAAGTGTGAAAGAGTTAAATGGGTAACAAAGAAAAGGACGATCGTATTGAACTAGAAGCTTTTTCGTGTATGTAGCTCCAAGCCTTCTTTTTGGTTTCCGATGATATTATGGATGCTTCCATCACCCGTCGTGGTCAACCCTGTTGGTACAAGTCTGAAAATGTCGGTATGGTTGCCATCAATGATGCTTTCATCCTTGAATCTTGTATCTACATCTTCTTAAAGAAATACTTCAAGAAGACCGATTACTATGTTGAACTCATTGAGTTGTTCCATGAGGTAAAGTTGAATACAGGCTGACTGAATGGGCTTTATGTACTCATTTTCATTTTATTTCATAGGTCACTTTCCAAACTGAACTCGGTCAACTCTGTGATCTCATCACTGCCCCTGAAGATCACGTCGATTTAAGCAAGTTCTCTATCAAGAAGTAAGTTTTTTTTTTTTGTTATTGTTATTGCGTGCATCTGAAACGAACGTTATTACGTAGGCATCAATTCATTGTTATTTACAAGACCGCTTATTACTCCTTCTATCTCCCCGTCGCCTTGGCTATGCACATGGTAAAGTATATTAGTGATCATATTCTATATGAAAAAGAAGGTCAGTGACTTACTGTATATTTTAGGTTGGCGTCAAGAACGAAGAAGCTTTCAAGCAATCTCACGATATCTTGATCCCCTTGGGAGAATACTTCCAAGTCCAAGATGATTATCTTGATTGTTACGGTGCCCCTGAAGTCATTGGTAAGATCGGTACTGATATCATGGATAACAAGTGCTCTTGGTTGGTTAACCAAGCTTTGGCCTTGGCCAATGAGGAACAACGTAAGGTTCTTGATGAAAACTATGGTCAAAAGAACGCTGAAGCCGAAGCCAAGATCAAGCAACTTTATATTGATTTGGACATTGATTCTGTTTACAAGGCCTATGAGGAAAAGTCATTCAACGACTTGAACGCCTTGATCGAAAAGTTGGATGAATCCACCGGTGTTAAGAAGCATATCTTTACTGAATTCATGGACAAAATCTATAGACGTACCAAGTAAATTACTCCTCTTTCCTTTGTTTTACCTCCGCAACACTTTTTTTTTTCTCTCATTCGCTTTCAAAAATAAATAATTAATATCATGTCTTTACACAATATGTTTGGGTTCAGTTTATGCTGCACACACACACACACAGACACGCATTATAAATACAGCCAATATCGAACGCTATACAAACCCTAATAACACGTTGCTAAAGAAATCTACTAATTTCGTGAAACAAACGAAAATCCGCGTTACACGTCGGTTTCCTTTTTCAGGTAAGGTAGGAGGATCGTCGGTGATCACTTTAGCGTAGACTCGGGGCAAAAAAAAATCGCTAGTCAGAAGGTAGCCAGCTCACTATACTATTAAAATATATACGTCTTTCCATATACTATCAGCAGTTATGCATACATTGGATGATCATACTAAATTTATTTTTATTAAATAGCATAGTTTACCAACGCCAATATCGGTTATTGATCTTGCGTAAGTTGTCTTCAGGTGTAAACCTCTTCTTATTTATCATTAGACTTAAGCTTCAAATAATAACCGAATAAGTACGATCAAATGTATAATATTATTATAATCACAGACAGAAATATAATCATAATCGATATTATCCTCATATTTATGCACCTCTTCCTACTCCTCTTCATCAGAGCTATCATCACAGCATTCATCCTAAGAAAGATAATCCTATCTTTACCGGATAAGGGGGGACGTAATGGAATCCTATCAATGGATTGATCATCTTGCAACAATACATGTGGCTTCCTTTTTCTGGCCTCTTTCAATCACGGTGTACTTGAAAAATATGTCTGAATCCTCCGCCTCGGTACAGTATGAGTCAAATCGCTGTAAAAAAAACAAAAGCTCCATCTTCAGCATAACATTAATCCATATAACTACGTAATTGTGTCTTTTGGTACATCGTGAGATTGTGAACGTTTTTGACGTATTCCCAAATTTTAACGCTAATTAAACATGTACGTTATGAGTCCAGTCACAGATGTGGTGATCTACCATATTGTTGCTACAAGAAATATGTCCATAGCTATGGATGAATATATCGAAAACGATTTAGGAATCACTTACCCTATGTAGATAGTTAGTATATACAAATCACATCTTAAAAAAACTTTTAAATTATTCATAAACTGCTTTATAATTTACCACTTACCTTAAAACACAACAACGGATCCGCATGCATTGAGCCTTGACCATTGCAAAGATGAATCTTCGACGCGCATAGACAAGTCATCGCCACAAACATGTAATTTACTTAGTTGAAAACTATTCGGTTCTATCAGAATAGTTATATCAGTATCAACGTCCGCCCTAACGGATATTAGTTTGAAGACCTTCAGGTTACGGAAACTGAAAGAAAATTTCAGTCGCCCTGGACAGCTCTTCCAACTTTTGCCATTTATAGAGTTACGTCTAGACTTTACCAAAATAAAAAACAGTAAGACTTAGGTGTAGACAATATGCAAATACAGAATCTTATGTCAATTAAAATAGAAATCTAGCGAATAAGGAAAAACAAATGGATTATAGGTTACACTGTAATACAGAGAATTCAACGTAAATGAGTTGGATTTTACACAGCCAAGAAATCTTTTTATTAATAGTCTATACTACGACTAGTGAAAATTTTCGACTTAATCAAGTTTAGCTTAGGTGTTTGTATCATTTATTTGAGAATTCTAAGTTTTTTTTTTAGATATGTTAGTTGATCGTATGCCTGATCGTGAGTTCTCTTAAATTAGAGATAAAAGAGTAAGACGAATAACAACGTGAAGATCATTATCAAGGGGAAATGTCTTTGTCTATATCTGTACAGCCTTGAATTTAAAGTGGCTACTTTCTATCATGTAGTCAAGCAAGTTACGTTCGATTCTCCCTCAAATAAAAAAAATTTGGCGCATGCTCAAGTACAAAAAGTCGGTGCAAAACCAAAAAGTCCACTCGTAAAAGAAACTATTTGTTGTGCTAACGAAAAGGCATTTCGTCATTACTTTTTTTTTTCTCTCTTTTAATTTTTTTTTTTTTTTTTTTTTTTTTTTTTTTGACTATCAAGAGCTTCATATTTGGGTTAAATGCTGTAAATTCCAACATGTTTTATTTGTTGAATAATTCGGACCAGTTTTTAATTTTTAAAGGAGATAGCTGTCATAAATTAGCAATTATCGCTATTATGCCACTCAATATAATTTACATCCGTATTATCATTGACGTAATGTTCCTGTTCACTGTCATAATGTGCTTGATCACTGTCATAATGTGCTTGATCACTGTCATAATATTCTTCTTCGCTGTCATAATATTCTTGTCCAATGTCATAATATTCTTGTTCAATGTCATAGTATTCTGGTCCACTGTCATAGTAATCATTCCAATATGTATCAAATTCGGGTTGTCTAATTTCGTCAATCAATTTACCGCCTTTGATTAAAACTTGTTTTTTAAAATTTTCTTGTCCTCCTATCGTATCATACTTGAAAAAAACATGGACGTCTTCTTTTCCAGTACAATATGATTTTAGCTTCTCGATCAAAGTTGGAGTAACTTTTTCGTCATAAGATGAATTACAGTAATTTTTTAAAGGATGTGTTTGATACAAATTTAACCTATCGACATTATCAAAATATGTCATGATATATTCCAAGGTATTTACACTAATTGTAAGTGCACGTAGTGTAAGTTCCGTTACAGAGCCGCATGAATTAAGTCTTGACCAATGTGAAGGCGTATTTTCAATGAACAAGATCGAATCTTCACCACAAATGTGCAATGTTTTCAATTGGATAAGATTTGATTCCGTTAAAGTACTGATATCAATAATATCTCTCATCCCAGTCAGAAGTAATTTTAAAACTTTCAGGTTACGAAAGTTGTAAACGTAGTTGAGCAATCCAGGATATGTATCCCATGCCCTTTCATAAGTAACACTATTTGTATTCTGACGTGATGTAACCGAATTGGATCGTTGCGGGTCCCTACCCTCATTATCTGAATAATTTTTCAAATTCCAGTAAGTTTCATCTTGGTCATAATCGCTTATTCTTAAAGATGTTATTGTGTTGCGATACTTGAAGTTGATCATCAAATACGTTTCTCGAGTAAGCCGTTTCAAGTCAGTCAGTTCGTCTGCAACAATTTCTTCAATAAACGGAAGATCTACTGTTTCAGTCAGCAATGGGATTAAAAAATTATCTCCTGATGTTGTCGCTTGAAAATGTAGTCTCTTTAAGTTGCTGCACATGTTAATTATAGGCATAAAAGTATTGAGATCTATATTATAACCAGTACGATCTTCATCTTCAGAAATAATATACAATTTCTGTATTTTCAACTTTAATTCGGGAAACTTTACTATGTCGTCTTGAAGCCGTTGATAATTTCGTTTGCACAGAGAGATTTGAATCCCCTCCTTGTAGAAGATAGAATATATGCTTGAGTTCCAATTTAAGCATACCAAGCGACAATTTCTGATATCGATTTCTCTTTCAAGATACACAAATATTAGGTTCATAATCTCTTCGGGCAGAAGGCGCCTTATCAATGATGCTTCCATTGCGGAAAAAGATGTAGATTTTCTCACACAGATATGTCGGCGTTGTTTTACTTAATCAGCAATGGTAAGTGTGACGTAAATGGCTAATTATTTTTTAATAAACAAATAGCAATTAGTTATTTTTATTTTTCACAAACAGCTTCATATTTGAGTTAATGTAGTGGATTCGAACATTAAACAATTTAGACCATATATCAATTTGTAAAAGGGATAGCGGTCATAAATCAATAATCGTCAATGGAATAGTCATCAATATATCCGCCATGATCGTCGTCATAATAGTCAGATTCGCTGTTATAGTGCTCGTTTGAAGAGCTATAATATCCATGTTGTCTTATTTCATCAATCAATTGACCGCCTCTGAATATAACATGTTTTCGAATTTGTGTTTCCCCTTCCATCGCATCATACTTGAAAAAGATATCAGCATCTTCTTTTCCCATACAATATGAATTCAACTTCATAATTAAGGCAGGGGTTTCTTCTTCGCTATAAGATGAATTGGTGTAATTTTCTAAAAGATCTTTCTGAATCAAATTTAGCCTGTCGACATTTGTAAAGTAGGTCATGACATATTCCAAGGTGTTTACACTGATTGTACGTGCGCGTAGTGTAAGTTCCGTTACAGAGCCGCATGAATTAAGTCTTGACCAATGTGAAGGCGTATTTTCAATGTACAAGATCGAATATTCGCCACAAATGTGCAATGTTTCCAATTGAAGAAGATTTGATTCCGTTAGAATAGTGATATCAATAACGTCTCTGATTCTGAGCAGTAGTAATTTTAGAACTTTTAGATTACGAAAGCTGTAAACATAGTTAAGCAATCCCGGATATTCATCCCATCTTCTTTCGTATCTAACACCGTATACTTGCGGCCGGAGCACATCCAAATCGATTAATTGCGGGCGCTTATCCTCATCCTCTGAATAAGAATTGCGGTATATGGAATAATTACCTTCATAATCATTGATATTCAAAGATGTTATTGTGTTGCGATATTTGAAGTTAATTTTTAAATATGTTTTTCGAGTACGGAATTCCATGTCAATCAGTTCGTCTGTAACAATTTCTTCAATGCACGGAAGATCTACTGTTTCAGTGAGCAACGGGAATAAATAATTTTCATTTGATGGTGCTGGCGCTTGAAAGCGAATTTTCTTCAAGTTGCTGCAGGTCTTAATTATGGGTATAAGAATACCGAGGTTTATATCATAATCAGAATACTCATCTAGAGTACGACAAATAATATTCATTTTCCGTATTTTCATCTTTAACTCGGGGAACTTCAACAAGTCGTCTTCAAGCTTTTGATAATTTTCTTCACCCAGAGAAATTTGAAATCCTTCATTATAGTACATAGAGCATATTCTTGAGTTCCAATTCGAGCATACCGAGCGACAGTTTTTAATATCAATTTCTTTTTCAAGATACCCAAATATTAGACTCATAATCTCTTCGGGTAGAAGGCACTTTATCAATGATGTTTCCATTGCGGAGAAAGATGTACATTTTCTCACACAGTCGTGTTGCATTTTTTTATTTGATCTGCAATAGGGCAATTAAGTAACTTTCAAGTTTCAAATTTCAAGTTGCAAATTTCAGGATTATTTATTTACGCTCTTTTAGTGTCATAAAAATAAATGGGAAATTGATGCTTGAACGTTACTTAAGTACCCCTAATAATGGGTGTGACGTAAAATCCAATACAATGTCTTAAAAAAAAAAAGGTCCGCATTCATTAGCATTATTGTTCATTTTGAAGTTAAATATAGTAGATTCAATCATGCTTTATTTATAGCAAAAAAGGAACAGTTTATAACAGATATTAACTTGAAAACATCGTTAAGTAGTGTTTATAATCGATGGAATAAATCAATAATCGTCATTAGAATCATAGTAATCATAATAATTTTCATCATCATAGCTATCATTGAGAGCAAAGCTGTTTCCTTCAAAATTATCGGAATCTTCGCTGTCATAGTACCCGTAAAAAAAGCTAAAATCTCTTATTTCATCGATCAATTGGCCTTTTTTGCGTAAAATTTGCCTTGAAATGACTGTTTCCCCTTCAGTCATGTCATACTTTAAAAAAATATCAGCATATTTTTTTCCCTTACAGTATAAAAACAACTTCTCAATCAAAGCAGGAGTTTCTTCTTTGCCATAAGAGGAATCAATATAACTTTTCAGAGGTTCTTTTTGATATAAATTTAGCATGTCAACATTCGAAAAGTTTGTAATGATATATTCCAAGGTATTAACACTGATTTCGAGTGCATGTAATGTAAGTTCTTTTACAAAGCCGCAGGAATTAATTCTTGACCAACGTGAAGGCGTATTTGCAATGCACAAGATTGAATAGTCGCCACAAATGTGCAATGTTTCCAATTGAAGAAGATTTGATTCCGTTAGAATAGTGATATCAATAACGTCTCTGATTCCAACCAGTAGTAATTTTAGAACTTTCAGGTTACGGAAGTTGTAAACATAGTTGAGTAGTCCAGGATATTTATCCCATTCCTCCTTGTATCTAATACCATATACTTTAGGTGGAGATGAAAAATAAACAAAACGTCGCGCGAAATCCTCCTCATTATCTGAATAATAAAACTCATCCGAACGATATCTAGCTTCAAAATCGCTGATTTCCAAAGATGTTATGGTGCTGCGATAGTTGTAGTTAATTTTTAAATACGTTTTTCGTGTAAGTGGTTTAAATGCTAGCAGCTCTTCTGCAACAATTTCCTCTATGCACGGAAGATCTACTGTTTCAATGATCAATGGCAATAAATAATTATCTCCACCTGTTGTCTGCTCAAAGTGTAGTTTCTTTAAGTTATTCTTGCATATGTTAATTATGGGCATAAACATGTTGAGATCTATATCGTAACCGGCATAATTTTCATCTTCAGAAATAAAATACATTCTCTGTACTTTCATCTTTAATTCGGGGAACTCTACCAGGTCGTCTTGAAGCCTTTGGTAATTTCGTTTGCATAGAGCGATTTGAATCCCTTCCTTATAAAGGATAGAGGATATGCTTGAGTTCCAACTTGAGCACACCAAGCGACAGTTTTTAATATCAATTTTTTCTTCAAGATACCCAAATATTAGATTCATAATCTCTTCGGGTAGAAGGCACTTTATCAATGATGTTTCCATTGCGGAGAAAGATGCGATTTTCTCACACCACCATGTTGGCGTTTTTTTTTTACTTAGTCTGCATTAAAGAGTGTGGCTTAAAATCCTACTTGTTGTCTTAACCAAAAAAAAAAAGCATGTAGACTTTAGTATACTTTAATGAACAGCTTTAAATTTGTGCTAAATGTGAGGATTCAAACAATTTTTATTTACTTAAAAGTGCCAAGATAGTTATCATGGATTAGTAACCGCCACCAGTGAAATCAGGACCGTAATGACGATGATAACGGTGGTTGTGAAAATGGTTTTCATTATAATAATATTTGTTGTAATCATTATCATCAAAATCATCACCATAATCATCGGTATTATCCTCGTCCGTAATGACATCATAATAATAATAATCGTTATCAACCTCGCTCATATATTCATCGTATTGATCATCGACATCACTCTCGCTCATAGTGTCATTTAAATAATAATCAGGTTCTCTTATTTCATCAATCCATTGACCATTTTGGCGAAAAATATTCCTTCGAATTTTTGTTTCCCCTTCAAAGACATTGTACAAGATAAAACCCCTGACATATTTTATTCCCGTACAGTATGAAATCAACTTTTGAATCAAAGCAGGAGTTTCTTCTTTTCCATAAGATGAATTGCGATAATTCTTCATAGAATAATTATGAAAAATCGATAGCTTCTCGACATTTGTAAACCATGTCATGAAATATTCCAGGGTGTTTACACTAAATTCACGTACATCTAGTTTAAGATCCGTTACAGAGGCGCATGAATTAAGCTTTGACCAATGTGAAGGAGGGTTTTCAATAAACAAGGTCAGCTCCATACCATAGATTTCCAATGTTTCCAACTGGGGAAGATTAGTTTCCGTTAGAATAGTGATATCAATAATATCTGATCCAAATAATTGTAATGATAGACATTTGAGGTTACGGAAGTTATTAACATAGTCGACTATTCCACTGTAGTAATCCCATTTTCTTTTATACGTGAAATCATATATCTTCTGATGTGATAAGTTAGAATCAATACATGCCTTTGTCTCCATATCAGCCCTAGTAAAACAATTTTCATGCGAGTAGGTCGCATTTTCAATATAATTGTTGATTCTCAAATGTGTTATTGTGTTGCGATACTTGAAGTTAATGTTGAAATACGCTTGTCGCAGGGATGGATTACATTCCACCGGATAGTGTGTAATAATTTCTTCAATGCACGGAAGATCTACTGTTTCAATCAGCAATGGTGATAAATGATAAGGTTCTAGTTTTTCTGATATGAAGTGTAGTTTTCTTATATTTTTGCATTCGGCGATCATGGGCATTAGAATATTGAGGTATATCCAAAAATCACGAAAACTGTTTTCTTTGTCGAATACAATATACATTTTTTGTATTTTCATCTTCGATTCGGGGAACTTTAAGAAATCGTCTTGGAGCTTTTGGTAATTTTGTTTTGTCAAAAAAATTGAAATCCCATCCTTATAGAACATAGACCAAATGGTTGAGTTCCAGTCTGAGCACACCAAACGATAGCTTTTGATATCTACACTACTTGCAAGATGCCCAACGATTAAGTGCATAATCTCTTTGGGTAGAAGGCGGTTTATCAACGATGTTTCCATTGCGGAAAAAGATATTCAAACTTACGGACAAAACCATGTCAGCGTTTTCTTATTTAGTTCCAAATAGTAAGTGTGACGTAAATAGCCAGTTATTGGTTTAATAAAAAGAAGGCATTTAATCATTGCGGAACAAGTTCGTATTTTGAGATAAATGCAAGTAGAAACATCCTCGTTTGCTGGGGTATTCAAAAACCAGAACGTTTTATGGCAGGTATTACTTGAGGAAGATGCCAAAGTAATAGTACAGCTAGCTGTTACAAAGTAGTAATTGAAAACAGAAAAATACATCAATGTCATGAAAATGCATACAACTCTCGTAATTATAGTTTGAAACACACATTATGATGAAGTAAACCTTTTAAGGGCACAAATTTAAGAATTAGAGCTGATCAATCTGCTAGATATTTATCCCGGCTCTTGTGATATCCGACCCCAATTTTTTTTGGGAATGACTAAAGGGGATGTCGTTTCTCAGATCTATCTATTCAAAGATAGTATTTTGATAAATGAGAGTCCTGTTTACCAGTTAGTTTCAGGGATGCTATTCGATCACAATATTCATGTCTTATCTTTATACTGCCCGCAAAAGTGGCTCAAAATCCGTTAGCTCATCCACTATTCTTTTTTTTCTACACAGTTAATCCGACATTTAAATGAGCAACGGGGATAAATCATCATCTCCTATTTATAGTGTCTCAAAGGCTAGTTTCTCAAAGTTGCTTCGCATTGATATAAGAGGACCATTATTTGTGACAGGACCATAACTATTCTCTATTCTAGCGACGATATTTATCACTTGTATTTTAATAGCTAAATGAGGGGACTTTATTATGTCGCCCTGAAATCCAAAGCCACTCATTTAACTCAATTTGTCTTCATCTTTAAACTTGAGCATACTTTTTCTTATCGTTAAATTTTAGACTAGAAAAAATCGATTTAGCTTGCATCTTTTCAACCTAAAAGGAGGTGTCTTTGAACGGAAAAATGTACGTAGAAGATTATGGAATGATGAGTTCAATAAGAAACCTGCTGCAAAAAATAAAATAAAAAACAATACAATCCTGCATACGCAATTTTCTTTTCCGTGATTGGTTGACATCCTCGACAAACAGAAAAGGCATATGTAACACACGTCACCTGACCTGGGGTCCGTCGTGAGGCCGTCGTGAAATACAATTAATGTTTTCTGTGATTTTTTTCAGTCTTCTTTAACATGAAAACTCAACAAGTGCAACGAAAGCAACTTTTTAAAAAAATCAGAAAAGGAGACGAGATTCATATTCAAGTTGATTCATGTAAAAAACCGCCTTATGATCAATTCAAGATAGTGTGTCATGCATGCAAACGAAACGAAGCATGCACTTTTGTGAATCTAAGAGGTTTCAAAAAAGTGAATGATCAGCTTTTATACGGGCCGTATTTCCCCTCAACAAGAACGCCTACTCTCAAATATAAAAGCAGGCGATTCAACACGATGCCCTACTCTCCCCGAGCCAATATATATGCTCTAAAGAAAATTAGACCGACACTGCAAAGATGCCTGCAACGCCAATTGGATGTCCTCCTACACGGCTCTAACAAACCAATACAACGAAAGCATACAAAAGGATACAGTCATACTTGTGATAGCTGCTCCACCAACTTTTTCATTCACTATTATATTTGCGCTTTTTGTGCCATTGAAATCTGTATGGATTGTTATGAGGCTTTAAAAAACACATTATATGGATACCATAACGGCCGTGTCTTTAATGGAAAAGAACATTCTCAGTCAGAATTTGTGCTATTCTCGAAACTTTCAGAAAAATCCATTACTTTGCTGGTTGGAAGTACGTCGATGGAAGTAGATGGATACTTATACAATGAAGAATATGACAGTGACGACATGGCCATTATTCCTTCAGACCATAAACCTATAGGTACTTTTGTTCATATATCGATTGGTTACTTAACAAGCTCATCCCTTTTTATTTTATCTGAATTGATTTTCTGAATGCTATTAGTTGACATATCACAAACACGGCTTCAAAAACTAATATCACAAGACATTCGTAAGCTCTAATCAAGTATTCACTAATTACCATCAGTACCAATTTTAGTTTATTTTAGAACATAGAGCAATACATAAACAAACCCATATCCGACATGAGCCAACCAAAGCTACAGTCGAACCGAAATTTACATACGATGGCACAGCATTTAAATATACATCCAGCGATAAGCCGAAAACTACATCATCTACTATCGCATCTAATCCTTCATACGATCTCCAAGCCAAAATCCATAAATTACATAACGATCCGGTTACAATCACTGTCATTTCCGCTTCCATATACGATGATCAACATGAAGAACGTAAGCTAAAGAAAGTATTAGTCGGTGATTTTAAACCTGTGTTGGATCAGAAATCGGTGGTACCTGCTAAACAGACCATAGGAAACAATGGCACAGACGACCCGCTGAACGGCTATTTTAGCAAGTTGAAGTCGCCGAAACCAATACAGTCGACTGATGTACTTACTAACACAGAACTTATCAACCCTATCGAGGTAAGAAAAAGTGAACTTGACCAATTGAAATCTGCAAAGTCTCGAAGAGCGCTGGACCCCAGAAACTTGAAATCACCAATGCTTCCCTCTCAAATGAACAAAACCAACGAACCCAACGAGCCCAACGAACCCGAATTAAATCGCGTACCACCCATTCTTGATAAAAGCCAAGATTACATGAACCTGCCCGCATCTCAGGTCTCTTTAGAGGTATTCCAAAAATACTGGCAAACGCACTGCCCAGCACTCGTGACAAATTCCACAATCGAGAGTAAATTCGAATGGACACCACAAATGTTTCGAAGTGTATGTGGGGCAGATAGATTACAGGCCACGGATTTCGATAATACCGTATACGAACTGGAAGCAAAATCTTACTTTAAGGCTTTCTCCAACCGTAAACGACGCCGATCACTGTGCGAATCCCTGGGAAGTAGCGAGGTGCTAAAGGTGAAGGATTGGCCACCGAACCAAGACCTCGCAAAGAAATTGCCTGGTCTTTACGAAGATTTTATGAGGACAGTACCAGCACCTGAATACTGTAGTGCTACGGGCTATTTGAATTTAGCAAATCGATTGCCAGAGGAATACGTACCGCCCGATCTTGGACCTAAATTGTTTATCTCGTACGGAAGTGATATGAAAGGAAAGACGGGTAAAACAAACCTACATTGCGATATAACGGACGCTGTGAATGTGATGTACTATGCTGATGATGATACTGTCAATGAAAAACCACAGGCACCTGCAGTGTGGCACATATTCCCTTACAATAGCCTGAGGATCCTGAAACGATATATACGACGTTATAAGAAATGCAATGATCTACACCCAATATTTGATCATGCATTTTATCTTACGGCCCATGATCTGCAACGTCTCGATGAAAAGTATAATGTGGTACCCTATACGATTTATCAAAACGTTGGGGATACAGTATTCATCCCAGCGGGTTGTGCACACCAGGTCACGAACTATAGTAACTCGATCAAATGTGCCTTTGATTTTCTAAGCCCTGAAAATGTTGAACGTAGTTTGTATATCTCCAAACAATTGCGCAAGTTGAATAAGCGCGATGCATTACAGCTTCAAACTACGTTGGCCTATGCATGGCTCAGCTTAAAGAAGGATTCTGAGACCTGAATCATCATGGCTCTTTGCTATTGATCCTCAAACATTTGCCTTCCTTCTTTTTTCACGGGACTAATCTAATTTATTAAATTAAATAAAAAAGCTCGACAACCCGTTCCAACTTTGTATCGGGAATTCGGGCACGAGAATAAAAAGGAAAAAAAAGGCACGTTTTGCACCCTACTATTATCAATCACAAAATAAAATCTTTGTTGCACCCGCTTAAATCATGCAGACATCGCCCGAAAAAAGCGAGCGAATGACGTCATAGGATTTCTTTCTGCACAGCAAAGAAAAAAAACAAAAAAAAATAGTAAATGATTTGTCGAAAATCAAATTAGAATGAGTGGATCAGATATACGCGACATTTTGCAACTCGGCAGTCCTACGGAACCCATTCAAAAACGATCTAAACCAGTGCCGGAGAAAAGACCAGGTACAGAAAGAGAGAGAAAAGGAGGGGGGATCATTCACAGAAGTACTCATTGGATTTTACGTAGATGGCATTAGTCGAGAATTGTATAGTTTGATTGGAGGCGCGCCACCTGTTGCGTTTGTCAAACCCACTTTTAAAGCTAAATTCAAGAGTAAAAAGAAGGCTGCGTCATGGTACGTGGCTAAACATTGGCATTGAATCGTTTGATCTAAAATTAAAGAGATGAATAGGCTCCTGACACCTTTTACAAACCCTGCTCGAGTAGATGATCTCGAACTGAAGCATTGGGTTAAGGCAGACGAAGCAGATAACCAAGGTATAAATAAAATAAAAAGGGGAGAGGATGATTGATGAACTAAAAATAGGTTTGAATAATAGAATATGCATTTTCTAAGTTCAATAAGGTGATTGATGTGATTGATTATTCAGAAGAAGATTACGAGAAATATCTTACAGGTAGCAAAGAAAAGAGACAACCAGTAAATGCTTACTAACATACAGATAGACACGGATTGGAGTAAAGAAGAAACGGATTACTTGTTTGACCTTTGTAGACAGTTTGATCTTCGATTTCCAGTGATTGAAGATCGATACAATTACAAGAATAAGGGAAGAACGATGGAAGACTTGAAGGATCGATATTATTCAGTGTATCGAAAGTTAATATTGCAAGGCAAAGGGAATGATTATATACCAGATCGACAATCGTTAGCGCAACAGTATAGCTATGATAAAAGCAAAGAAGTGGAAAGAAAGAATGCATTAATCATGTTGTTTAACCGCACGAAAGAACAAGTTGAGGAAGAAGAGGCATTATTTGTAGAGGCGAAACGTATAGAATTGAATGAAGCAAAATTGGTGAAGGAAAGAGAAAGTTTATTGAATTCGCTTCAATTGGAGCAGATTCAACAGATTCCATCTACACCTAATACACCGCTTTACAACAATATCTCACCTGGAGGCTCTCCCGGAGGTATCGGAATCACGGGTGGTACAGCGGGTGGAAATCATTCCTCTGAATTAAAGGTAAATTTATCACCTTTTTTTTTTTTTGCTTGTCTAGAATGTGTCTAACCGAAAAGTGTTTTAAAATAGAAGAAGAAAAAATCAAGTATGCATGAAGATAATAAAAAGGGACGCAAATTATCAAGTGCATCCACCAATCTATTAGAAGGTAAAACAAGAAAAAAAAATTAATTTAAATTTGAGTAACTAAAGTAGGAACTAGTTGATGATTATAAAAAGGAAAAGCTTACACCAGGAGTTTATATTCGAAGTCAGAAACTGCCAATTGTTAAACCTACTATGCAAGCTAAAGTACTCAAAGTATTGGAAGAAATGGGAATTGGTATTGTTTGTTTTATTTTAACCAGGGACATCTATTTTTAAACATTTCATTATTTCATTCAGGTCCAAGACCAATCATGCCTACAGCACAAGTGTGTCAAAAGTTTGAAAATTTACAAAATTCCATTTTGAACATGTTTGAACTCAAGAAAGTAGTTGATAAAACAGAAGCTGAACACAAGGTTAAGATACAAAAAGGGCGCGATGGCACACCAACAGGCAGGGTAAGCGATTTTGCTCTTTTTCTGTTCTTGTTGTACTTAATTTATTCCCATAGAAACGCTCTTCTAGCAATGCTGGCTCCAATAGTGGCAACAGAGAAAAAAGACGCAAGTAACAAGACAAAAAAAAAAAAAAATTATTCACATAAACTTTAATAATGTGGGTAATACAAGAAAATTTTCGTACTTTATAAACCCTCACTTTCATTCTTTTTTTTTTCTTTTTCCTTTTTTCTTGAAAACTTTTTTTTTTTATTATTATTATTTATTTTTTTACATGTCACTAAAAGAACTACCCTTTCCAAAGGCCTTGAATATAATACGGCCTTCTTCACCATTAATACAACTTCAAGATTCTTCTCATTCGTCCTCGACTGCCTCTTCTTCACCCTCTACACTATCAAGTTTTTCTTCCTATTCCAACAATAATAATAGTAGTCGAGTTCAGCCTACCATCGTCACACCTTCCAATTTTGCTTACTTTCAAAATAACTGGGCTTCGTTTAAATCAACCAACCCTGTAGCTAACACAGTAGGAGTCAATCCTCATCGTTTTTTACAAAGACCTAGAAGTAATTCAAGTCTGTCCAAATCCACTTTTTTCTCTGCCATATCCGTAACATCATCTCACGCAAGTGAAGAGGAGGAAGATGAGGAGGAAGAGGAAGAGGATCTTGACAGTATTGACGGTTTGACTGACGAAGAGGATGATGACATAGAAGACGATAATGAATCAGAGGAAGATGATGAATCTGAGGTAGAAGACGAGCCTACCAAAATTGTAGCTAAAGTAAAGCACGGAACTATCATGAATGGTAAAGGAGAATTTGTGAGCAAAGGCAGCTCAGATGAACAAAATTCTTGGTTGGATGAAGCAAGAGCAAATCGTAAGGTAAGGAAATTGTTTAATTTGTGTGTATATATGTGTGTAGATACCTTTTTTTGTTAAAACCTTCTTTTTTTGGGGTATTAGATTGCTGATCTCGAGATAGAGAAAGCATCTTTGTTGGTACTAAACACAACTCTGGAAGCCAAGCTGCGACAACAAACATCACAGATTGTCGAGCTGCAGAAACGATTACAAATGTATGTGAAAATTAATATGTATGTACTTTTTTACTTATTTTTTTTTTATTATTATAGGAATGAAGGACCCCTGACACCCGTATCAGATAAACACGTGGATGAGGTGAAATAACATTTTTTATGTGTGTCTTTTTTCTATTGTTAGCCCCAGAACTAACCCTTTCTTGTATAGTTATTCGATGATGACGAAAACACGATTGTATCTTCAACTACGGCCGACGAGGACGATGAGATCGAAACAGATCAAGTATTTCAACGTATAAAATCCATGTTGGAAGGACTTATTTTACAAGCTGAAGTTGCATTACTTCAGAAATCAAAGCAATCTGGAAAGGTATTACAAGAGTATAATTTCCCGATGGTCAGCGAACAAGAGAAGAGACACAACGTTGAAGGTAAAATTTAATATATAATAAGGGTTTTTATTTCGTGTGTCTGACATGTCCGTTAGAAACCTTACATAAATTAACAGTGAGAACAATGTCACCGCCTCCCATAAAGAGATCTACAAGAAGAGTGTCAGACACATCTAAACCAGCCAGTGCAAAAATGTCGAGAAACTTATCCCGTCAATCATCACCTCCTGTCATGATGACTTCAACTTCTCCACGACCATTTAGTCCTCCACCCACACAACGCTCTTCCTCTCCACGATATTCTTCACAATTACGAAAGAGTCAAGATCTTGAAAAGCCAAAGTGGAACTATTAAGCCCTTTTAAACCTTTTTTATGAATTATGATTTGATACCTATTTTTTTTTTCTTTTTTAATCTTATGCCACAATCACACACACACACACACACACATCTAATATACCCCACCACAATGACAAGCCTTTTTACTTTCTTATTTCCCACCTGTGTATCAAACAAACAAAAAAAGGAATTACCTTATGTCCCACTTTCATTTTCATTCTTCTTTCATTTTCACCCTTTTTTGTTCCATATTATGTATATTTCACCTCTCCTCCGCAAACAAAAAACAATAAAAAAAGTCATCGACTCTAACAGGACACTCGGAAATGGATGATGTCGAAATGAAAGACACATGATGCGTCAATACAAACTCCATAGATTGCCTGATTTATGTGATTACGTAGTTTTTAGGCCAGCGTAAAAAATCGTGTCATATTTTATCATGCAAAAATAAAATATATTATCCGAGGATGGGAATTTCTCAAATGTAAACAACATACCTTTGAATGTTATTGAATTGACAAAAATGTAAAAAAAAAAAGGGGTGGGGGGTACCCCTCGGAATACCTCTCTATTTTCTGACTTGCAACTTTAAAGGTAAAATAATTCGGCGGTTGTCTAATCGTGTGATACAGATTATCGCATTACAAAACAGAAAAGAAAGAAACACACTCATCCATACATTGATCTGCAATTCATAAACAATCTAGACTGATTTTACCTCCAACCGGGCAAATGGCTTATAATTAGCGCATATCCCTAAAGCTATGCTAATAACTATCTCATCCAAAACTGTCTACTTTGCCACCCGCCGATTGCAACCTTGCATTAAACTTAGTATCCAACCTTCAACTTTGTCCGTGGTGTGACATTTGTTTTCGGATTTTAAGGGCATAATCCGTAATCTGTCACACACAAACTCATCTTATTTTGTCAAAGGTGCGCCTACTATACATATTAACACCTGACCGGAACGGCTTAAAATACTTTACACTCCTCACCCGTGCATTTCGTAAATCTTAAAATGCGTGATTGGTCAAATTGCGCACTTTAATTTAATCCAAATAAAAAAAAACATGCCACTATAGAACCTTTCTTCTCTTACTACTGCATTAACAATGTCAAGCAGCAATCGATTTCTATGTGTGCTTCCACAAAAAACCTCAACTACAAAGCAGTCGTACATTTACCGAGTTTCCACGTTTCGATCTTATAGAGATGAATGGGAAACTAACCTCGCATAAAATTTGCTGGCATTACGAACACGTCCCCCCTTGTCAGCATTCTCGCTACAAGTTGGGCGTTACTAACCCCTATGCAGATTGTATGTACATACGCTAACTGGGTTAATGTCTATCCTTCTTTTTGTTACTGCCATCACCAGTGTCATGTTATCAAAAAAAAAATGTCCCACCAACGTATCGGCTATTGTTTGTTACAATCACAAAAAATAAATATCATCTGTCCAAACCTTGTCCTCGAAAGATCGCTTCCATAACGGGTAAGAATTTATATAGCGCATTAACTGATATACTATATTTGCATAACTATCGATTAATATTATATTCAATAACAAATCAAGCCAGTTGATGATTATTTTATTTGTAATGGTTACTATATTACAATTAAACAGAAATGCAGGTATAATTACTAGATAAAGGCGATACCTTATCTGACTCTTTGAGCTGAGTAGATACTTTTAAATTACAAATCTCAGCGTCAATGTTTCCCTCTCTACATTGAGACCACTCAGTCAACTAAAGAATTTGCCAAAAGATGCGCCTTTAACAAGCATCACCCGGACGATCTCAAGTTGCTTTTTAGCCTCTAACTTTTACTCAAATATCTGCCTCGAGAATCTCAAATGTATCTTTTATGCCAATTATAGAATTTGTTTGTCGTTATCAAATTTTGTTTGAGTAAGACCAACGCACTACATCGCGATAAACATTGCCATTATTATAAAGGGTATGACCAGGTTTCAAATTAAACAAGGTATAATAGAACAACCAAGCAGTGCTATTTCTTTTATATTGGAGACTAGGTGTACTATGTCTACTACTCAGATTGCAATCAACAGAAGGCATTTTTTACATTGCTTTAGAGTTCTGCTTTGGAAATGAAGCACTCAATTTGAAACCCGCATTAGCAAACATCGATATGATCTTTTGGGAGCGAGTCCCGTAACTGAATTTTGACGGTTTTTTGAGAGCAACCGCGGCTGACACGGAGTCACTATAAATACTGAAAAAGTTGTTCATGATAAGTATAAAAAAAACAATATGAAACATTTGACAAACAATGTTTAAAATGAAGTTGATAGCGAAGGGGGTAAAAAGAAAACGTATGCGCATAGTATAATTTTGGCTCACCCAGCTCGTATATGCCTCATGATTATGCCCAATTTCAATTACGAAGGTGTTTAAGCATATTTAATGCTAGCCCCATTTGATGCAATTTTTTCTCATACATCATACAAAAAGGTGACCCCACACCCGGGTACTGAATACCCTTCCGGAACTTCATTTTTTTTTTTTATGATTTCCGCAACTCCATTTATCATTCGATAAACCAATTACGTCTAAAAATGACGTAAACAAATTGAAAATCTTCATGATCATAATCGATGAGGATAAACACGAAAAATAAAAAGACAAACATCTCTTTTATTTGTGTATACACACTACAAAGCTCAGCATAAAAATAAACAAGTATTGTGTCTATCGGTAAACAAACAAGAAGGGTCCAACTATATTATTTTGCATAGATTTTTCTTTTGTTCGTCTCACATCAGGTGAGGCGTACAGGTGCATAAATAAATAAACAGCCATTTTTATTTCATATAAAAAAAAAATTATTCCTTTTTAGGTGCAACACTTTGAACAGGCCAGCTGTAACACACGTTAGAACGATCATAGCCATATCGCTTCATAAAGTTGTCTAACTCGGCAGGACCTCTTGATCCATACTTGTAATTAGATAATTTGATATCAGAATGGTGTGCATCAATCTTGTGTAACAGGGGTGTAAAGATCTTCCAAGCAGCCACAAGTTCATCATCACGGACAAAATTAGAATGATCGTTTCGGAGCACGTCCAAGATAAGCGACTCGTATGCATCGGGAATAGCCATGTCCGTATAACGGTTTTGATAGGTCAAGTCCAATTCGGTTTGAATTGTCTGATATGATAAACCAGGTTGCTTATTGTTGAACTTGATATAAACGGCTTCATCAGGTTGCACGCGTAAAACAAGTTCATTACGAGCTGCTCCATTGTAAAGAGACCCGGCAACATTACGGAATTGAATACGTACTTCAACCTTTGCCTCGTTTAATGCTTTACCTGCCTTTAAAACAAATGGTACACCTTCCCAACGCTCATTTTGAACAAACAAAACCAGAGCCGCAAATGTAGGTGTCAAACTATCCTTGTTCTTGATTGTGACATCGTCAAGGTAACTAGGCTTACCGTTTTCTGCAATGTATTGGCCTAAAAGGGCATCGTTGACAGAGATAGGAGGAATACATTTCAAGACTTTGACCTTTTCATCACGAATATCTTCAGCATCTGTGGAGATGGGTCTTTCCATGGCGATGAGTGACATGACTTGCAACAAATGATTTTGGATAACATCACGAATAATACCAAACTCATCAAAGTAACCACCACGACCTTCCGTTCCAAAAGGTTCCTTGAAAGTAATCTGGATATTATCAATATTGCTGCGGTTCCAGATTTGAGAGAAGAAAATATTTGCAAAGCGAACCATCATAACGTTCTTAACCATCTCTTTACCAAGATAATGATCGATTCGGAAAGTCTTGTCATCCATTAGTCATCTTTTTGCGCCTCCTTTTTTTTTTTTTTTTTTTTTTTTTTGTTACTGCTTACCTCTTCCTCTGTAAAACAGGCACCCAATTCTTTGGCGAGATGAGCAGAACTCTCAGAGTCATGTCCAAAAGGTTTTTCAACCACGATACGGTTCAAACCTTGTTTAGCATAGGTGTTCTTCTTTAAGCCTTGTGCGACCGTAATGAAAACAGAAGGTGGTAAAGCCATGTAAAAGACACGATGTCTTTTTCCAACCTGAATATGTCTCTCCTCTTCACTGTTCAAAATAAACTTGTCCAATTGTTGAAAAGATTCATCTTGATCGTATTGACCAGACACGTAAGAAAGGATCTTTTGAAATTCAGTGGTGTCGTCAGATTTAATGTATTGAGTGACACGTTTGAGATAGTCTTCCTGGGTCATCTTGGTACGTGCATAACCAACAATACGTGTATTCTCGGGTAAAAATCCGTTCTTGAATAAACCAAACAAGGCTGGGTATGTCTTCTTTTTGGCCAAATCGCCAGAAGCACCCAAAACTAAATAGTGATGCCATCATCAATACTATTTTCACCTTTATCCTATCCTCACTTACCAACAATTGTGACAGAACCATGAAGTTCTTCACATACTTGACGACGCATTTCTTGAATAGGATCCATATTTCAGTGTATTTATATTTTGGTATAGAGTTAAAGAAAAAGAAAAATAAATAATTAAATAGAATTAAACTCAATTTATAAACCGTAACATTTGTTACATAATCATTAAGTCAGAATAACTTATCTGGCCCGTGTTCTCAGTCATTCTACGGCATAAAGTATTCCCGGGTTTGTCATTATAGATCCTACATGACAGTTTTCCATTTATCGGGTATAACAGTAATAGACAAGTTCGTTTATTCCGTAAATAAAACCCCTGAATAAATAAAAAAAAATAAAAAAATTGACTTTACTTTTCAATCTGGTTTTACTGATACTAATTTTTTTTCGCTAGGGAATTCACACATACAAACATAAAACATATGTAAAGAAGCCAGTCTACAGTTATACTCATTAACCACGTGTAAATTCAAGAAAATATATTGAGTGAACCATGGCTAATTTTCTCGTATGCTTTCAAAACACGAAAGCTTGGATTGATTGTACTTCATTGAACCCGCTTTTATGAGACTGGGTAGAAATAAGGGTGCACATAACTGGACCATTGATAAAATAAGTTATCCTGACACTATGTGTTGGTGTACATAAAAGGATGTCACTCCGTTTATGATTAAAAATACAAATGCAATCTGGTAAGCAATTGCCATTCTGTTATCGGGTCTTGTCTTTTTATGAGTTTAGACTTTAGTACCATAAATTAAAATTTCAGTGAATTTGGGCGTAACTTGAATATAATTCTGGGCTTACAACTTTTCTGCGTTACGTCCAGAATCGTGACAAGTGTTTGGTTGTACGCCATACAATAGTTTTCGATTATTTTGTAACTACATTAATCAGAAACACAAACATAACAACAGTTGTCACTATGGCTCGCGAGTTGTGCAAGACATACAGTTATTAAATACCATGGATTAAAGAAACTGATTCAAGTTCACTTTGGTCTCTTGTGCTCCGTCTTTATAAGTTTGAATAACTGATTACATGAAGGTATTAAAAAAAAACACCCGTAAAATTTAATGGCGTTTCTGCACTCCAAATCAGGTTAAAAGATGACAGAATTTCTGAATTTTTGATTCATACTTTTCAATAAAGCTCATGTCATTTCCTCAATTAATACTCTGAATCAAAAACCTTACGTCCTTTATTACGAATTTGGTATACTATTGCATAAACGATACATGTCACACCACCAGCGTCTATTGGCCTCTGACAAATTGGTAGGTACCCATATGACGAAAATGACTTGTGTAACTTGTCGAATGTTCAGAACTTTGTTCCACTCAACTAAAATTAAATCGATTTACCGTTAAAAGACTAACATTATGTAATTCCAGTAGCATTTCTCTGAGTTATAGCATTAATAAAATCATCCGCTCTCAGGAGTGTCAACTATATACAGTTTACAAAGTAGTTAAACAGAGCACGAATCCACTCTGAAGATGAATGTGGTTCAGCATTGATAAATTTCAACACTCGTTCTTTTTTTTTTGCGCCACCGTTCTATATTAAACTTTTAATCTGTACATCATAACACTCGTTCTTGCGCCACCATTCTATAGAAACCAGTTGTTCATTTGTGACACTGTGATCCATTTTTATAGACCTTTATAAAAACTAATCGGTTGATTTTGTCTTGCTTTTATTGTTTACAACTATGAATATTACATTTAACAAAGAATATGATAATCTATTTACTGCATTAGCCGGTGAATCTTGCCCGAAACATAATATAACTGCCACAGATGGGTCCATACTACAGTACGGTGCATCATGCCTGGAGACTATTTTTCCTACACCAGATACGATGGACTATGCTTATCATTGCCCTCCCCTGAGTGATATTCCGTCCAGTATTGATAACTGCGACAAGCTACAAGGCATTATGGAAACGCAAACTCTTACATTTAAGGTCCCCGAAAAGACCAGATGCAATATTCAATGTGATAAATTAGATTTGTCAAAGGATTTGCCTTCTCTCTCAAACCCTCCCTCTTATAGTGGTGCTCATTTTGATACCCAGCCTGGGGTTGCTCTTATTATGGCTTCTCTATTATTAATGATTATCATGGGTTTCAAACACTAGGCTAACATACACTAAAAGTTATTCACTTTTCAATCTTTTGTGTGTGTAGTTAAAGGCGATAATAGTAATGCATATTTAAACGTTGAATTTCTAAAATAAATCATTTCAGAAATCATTGTTGAAACCTGATTAAAATATTTATATGTTATATTTTAAACAAACTTTTAGTGTAAGGCTATATAGTGTAGTTAAAGACAAATAGATTCGGCCATTGCTAACTGTTGTTAAACCATTAATATGAAACTTTATTTTTGTTTCCTTTCTATTATGTGGAACAAAGACCAGGCCAGAGGCAAATATATGAACATCCCAATTTAAAGCTTTAGTGTGTTCTTTATCATCATTTGTGAAGCACAATTGGGGGGGGGGAATAACATGAATTACATAGTCTCTCTAAGTCTGACATGCTATGTATAAAAAATTGGGCAAGAACATCTATATAGTTATTACATGATATGTACTTCTCAGCATATATGGTATACACTATAAAACTTGTACGGATTAATTATTCTGAATCCAATTAATATGTAAGTGTTTGATTGTTGGTTTTCATTTAGCATACCTACTGTTTGTTTAGACATGCGCTATTGGAGATTGTCCTAAAATTTTATTGTGTGTCTACCTAACTTTTTATTTAATCTATTTAGTTTTTAGAGTTTGTTTATACATCTTTGTAAAAAGGAATAAATATGTGGCGAAAAACCGCATTAAGTCATGTAACATGACCGAGAAGATTAATTTATGCGCTTAGTTAGAGGATAAATAATGACATGGCAAGGCAATGTTCCCAAGGCCGCATGTCTCATCTAAGTGCCTATAAAATCGGGCTTGATTTTGGTACCTCCTTTGTTTTTCTACCCGAATGATTGAAGAATGGTGTGATGGTGTAACACTATATATGCTAGATCACGCGGTTCAATTCTAAAAAAAAAATCAGTTGGGATAGCAACCCGTTTTCGTAAAAAGCACGAAGTATCTATTGATGTATGTCCACAGAACATATCATTACTATAGCGAAGAACTCAACTAATACAATCCATTGAGACGAGTATAATATCCAAGGAATTACAAAACAAAAAGAAAGCATTATGCATATATGTTTCATAAGCTGAACGGGCATGATGTGGATGCATGTTGGCATATGACACAACAAAATGATTCTTTCGATTTTTACGACGCTGTTTATTAATATCACTCAAAAATAATCTATTTATATCAAAAGCGATAACTTTTGTCAGTTACCTATTTTATGTCTAATACACAAAGATATCCCAATCCACCATACATAGACTTTTCGTTCTTTTATGCTCCCAAACCTCTTCTATTTGCTCTCATGAATACTTTAACAGGTTCAGTAATACCATCGCCATTATTACCAATGGCGTTTCCTTGCTTCCAACTATAAATATATGCTTGTCAGTTCGTCTTATTTCAATACCCGCCCAAAACAAAACAAAAAAATTACCCCATTGCGGCTAGCATACGATGACCAATGTTGCTGGATGAAATTGGCACAGAGTCGGAAGCAACCAATTTTCCGTGATTCTGATTATCTCGCATTGCTCTAGAATCGTTTCCATCACGTTTCCTTGTGGATGGAATGGGCTTAGTTTTCATTACATGTTTGCTCGTCTTTTTCAAATGCTCTTTATAGGATAGTGGTATACAGGTTTTTGATGTCTTTCGAAGTACAATATTCCTATGAAATTAAGAGCTTTAATGCCGATACATTTTTTCTTGTTTCCGTCCTTCATATACTTTTTTTTGGAATCCGAGTGTGATAATTCCAATTGGAATAATTTTGCTATTTTTGGTACAACCATGCTACGGCCATGGTACGTGAGGTTCGAAAGCTTATAGGTCTGGATGTGGTCTCTTCTTATAAACTCGTGCAATATCCTAATATAAAATGAGTTGACATTTCATACAAACGCCTAAAAAAAACGCAACTTACTGATCCAGCATATTGTCCTTATTCTGCTTAGGTAACTCTTTTTTCTCCTTCTTTCGTGAATTAAAGTTACGTTGGGCTTTCGCCTGCTTCTTTAATCGGCTTTTCTCCTGCTGCATGATTCCTCTGTAACTGTTCTTCAGACTTTCTGGTACATTTTCCAAGAGATCAAAATCCATCCCGGGCTCATGTAATATGTTATCTTCTTCATCATCGTCGAGAGAAAAGTCTTCGTCTGATTCACATATATCACCCATTGTAGCACCTTCTAATATAGCATAATCTTCATCATCTGAAGTCATTTTATGTCCCCGTGTTGGTTCACTAAACTGTAGGATATCTTTTTTACCCCAATGACTAAGTGCCTGCAACATTTCAACATCCTCACTACTGCTAATAGATGATACATCGTCGTTCAAAAACATGTCATCGTCGTCACTATCGAGATAAATGGAATCGTCCTGGATAATTTTTTGTTTCTTTCGCTCGTAGTTGGACAGAGTTGGTTTATCTTCCAATACAGGTAAAGAAATTCCAGGCTCAATAGCAGTTTCTGCAGGCGTGGAATCAAAAAAGAAGTCAAGAGTTTCCTCTTGTTCAAGGACATCAACAGGCGCCGCAGTAATGCTAGTGACAGAGACTGTCGAAAGTTGATTGAAAGTCGCCAAGTGTCGTTTCTCATCAAGTATGGATCCGCTAGAAACAACATGCACTAGACATTAAATTTTAGTTGATTACCTTCTAAAAGGATATAAATCCGATTAAAAAGAGTACCTTCTTCTTCTGCATCGTAATTCATTCTGGTAGATCTAACGGGCGATCGCTTTGTTGCTAAGGGTTCACCAAGCAATTCTTTCAATGGCTTTGTTTTGTCGAATCCAAAGCCACCACCTCGCGGATGAGGTCTTTTCTCTCCCTTCTTTCTCTTTCCGTCTTGTTTTTTAAACTTGGAGCCTTTGGGTTTAGCCATAGTGTTTTGGAAAAGAGAAACAACAAAAATCAGAAAAGGCCTAGACGATCAGTGGTCACAATGTGGGAGCGGAGCACCTATCGTATGCTCAAAAAGAAAACTAGAAAACAACATGGTTTCTATCGCTTTCAACAATAGATTGTAGCCACGTTTAAAAATAATACTTTTGGCTTCTGAAAAAGGACAATCAAATCGTTGCTTAGACGGGAAAAAAAAATTGTCTTGTTCCATTTACAAACTTTAAAAAGTAATGATCCTGTTTTATTGGGCTGATTTGTTCAGAAAGTTGGCGTTCACTTACCATATTGGTACTTCCGGTTCCCGAAATAAAAAATTGAAGAGAAAAAAAAAAAAGTATAAATACCCATTTCACTTTTTACAAAACAAAACAAAAAAAATATAGAAAAAATGAAGTTTATTTTTGCTGCCATATACGCTGTCGCTGCAGTTCTTGTTTCTGGTCAAGAATATACTGGCCCCGTCTATGTAACATCTCCTCTTCCCGGTACAGTTTATAACGCTGGTAGTGCTGCTGTCATCAACTGGTAAATAATATTGCACTCTCAGGTACACACAATCATTTTACTCATACCAATCTTTCTTTAGGATCAACCCTGTTACCGATGTTATCAGCAAGATCATTTTAGCCCAAGGTAGCGCCACGAACATTCAACCTCTTATCACCGTTGCAGAAAACGTCGATGCTAAACTGGGTACTTACTCATGGGCTATCCCTGCCGATTTTTTACCTGGGGACAACTTTGCTTTTATTTTGGGTACCGCACCTAACGTCTCTTACACCGGTCAATTCACTGTCAAAAATGCAAACGCTGCTCCCGTCACCTCTAGCGCTGTTGCTGCTGCTTCTTCTGGAGCTGCTGCTGCTGCTACTCCTGCCGCTTCTGGCTCTGCCGCTGCTTCTGGTTCTGCTGCCCCCACCGCATCTCCATCTAGCTCCGCAGGTAACTCTAACAAGGCCGCTTTGGGTGCCGCTGCTATCGCAGGTGTTGCTGTCATGGCTTTGATCTAATTTATACATGTTTTACATACTCTTTTTTACTCTGATCCTTTCAACCTTTGTATAACTCTTTCACGATAAAATTTTTAATAACAAGAGATGGTTTTTATTGCTTGCCATACTCAGATAAATAGCCCGCTGAAGGGATAATTCATTGTTTCACTACAAACTATAACTACAGTTTCATGTGCACTGTTTAGTCCCAACAATTAAACAAGTAATGACAATACTTGCTTAAGTGCTGTGTATCGACTAGACCTTTTTTTATTTATTTTTTATCTAAAAGAGCTTCAAGTTCAGTTTGCAATTCAAAGAATTGTGCTCTACGAGAATGCGACCTATGACAATGATCTTGTGTATGTTTATGTACAACTGCCAAAGGCAAATCAGCAGATACTTTTTTTTTCTTGTTTGGCTTTGTCGCGAATTTCTTTGGTTTGCTTGTACCCAAGTACCAGACAGGAAGCTTGTCCTTCTGTAAGTAATAATTCCATGACTGCAACACGCGAGTATCGCCAGTCCCCACCAGCTGCTCCATCCAGTCCTGTTCTTATGCTTTCTACTTGAGCTATTTCATCTTGTTTGTCGACAAAAGTCTTAGTTCTATTAAGCCAATAATTTTCCGCCGTCATCCAAAGGCCTAATTGGTGCACGTTGCAAAGTTCATTCAACCAAGAAAAATACGTACTGTATGGGGGCCGTGCGGCCGCTACAGTAGGTACTATAAGGCTACCACGGTGTTCACTGTTCGGCTGCTACAGTACTTGTTGGAAGCGCCTATAATAGATACTGTGTTTCGCCACTTTGTGCACGTCTTCATCAGTCAAGAACAGCTCGTTGCTACCGCTCGCTTCTGGCACCTATGTGCTTCTCAGAAAAACTATATGTCGGCTTCCTGATGAAATACTTTCATTCTACTCAAACTTTGCAATACCCTCAGAAGACTTCGGGGTGTTTTAAACTTCATTCCCAAAGCCCCACAAACTCAAATGGATAGGCTTGTGGGAGAAGAAGGAAACATGCCCATCAAAATCAATGTTTCCGGTAAGAGCTTACAGCCGCGTACATCCGTGATCTCTATAAACTATCACATAAGGTGTTAAATTACCAGTATTTTATTAAATATTTATATCAAAAAGTACATTCTGACGGTCTTTGTCAGAGTTACTTTTTGAACACATTCACAATTAAAAGCAGAGGGAGATCTGACTTCGATGGATGGTAAGGTATCTTCCTTACCACCAAAGAACAGGTAATTGGTGCACAATTGTTAAGGACACCATTCCATTAAAGTTTTAAATTGGTCTCTCTCCTTCTTTCAAGAGAAGCCTCTTGCTCGGGAGTCGCTTCCTGATGATCAGTATTACCATTGTTGGAATCAAACAGATTCTCTTATTTTTTTTTGGAGCTTTCTTCAGCTCCCGACCCTCTGCTTGTTTTCTATAACATCAACTATATATGTCGTACGGACATATGATTGTCAGGTGGGGGTGTGCTGGATTCAGGACGAATACGAACGGGAGGAGAAGGTTTGAGTATATCGACAGTATGTTTATCGTGTAAAAGATCGGGATCTGCCAACATCTTTCGTTTCATTTCTTTTATACGTTTGTGTGTGATTTTTCTTGATTTTCCCCATTATTGTTCTTTTTAAAAGCATTCTTCTTAATTTATTATATGTGAGGTGCCTTTTAGACTAAAATGATAAATCTGTCAAAACAACAGTCCAAAGAAGCACGGTCGGAGCATAAACTGATTAGATGTAACTGCTTTAAAAAGAACAAAGACGAATTGTTTCATCATCTACCCCTCTTTCTTTCCCTTTTTTTTTTAAATTTTTTTTTTTATCAAAGAACTAAAAAGAAGGAACAATGGACCCAAATTATCCACAACAATACCCACCTCCACCCCAGCAATTCGCACAGCCACCACAGGGCTATAATTACAGTACACCACCACCACCACAATATTATCCTCCATCATCTGAGCCACTTCAGCAAGGTCATCAAAATCAACAATACAACACAAGTGCAGGTTATGCAGAACTAGGCGAAGCACCACTAAATGCTAATGATAAAATCCGGCCTTCGAGTGGATTTAAAGATGTTTGGGCTACTATATTGTGGCTTTGCAACATGGCTGGTTTTGTCGCATTATCCGTGATCGGATTACGTAGTTTTTCGTCCAACACAGGATCCGGTAATGGCGGTAGTGGTACCACACCCAATACTGGATCTGGAATTACATTCGATACAGACACTGTAAAAATCTTTGGTTATTCGGCTATCATTGGTTTTGTTATTAGCTTTATGTATCTAATTTTAGCAAATTTGTAAGTCATCTCTTTTTTAGTGGAAAAAGGATAAATGGCTAACTTTTTCCAATATAGAATTCCTGGACCGTTGATTTGGATAACTTTTGTGGGCAGCATCGTATTATATCTTGGTGTAACAGCTTACTATTTTTATATGCAATACTATTCTGGAGCTATCATTTTCCTCATTTTTTCCGTGTTGTACATCTTTTGTTTCTGGTCATGGAGAGATAGAATTCCTTTTGCAACAGGCAAGTAGTCATCCTGTGCATAATTGTTGTTATGTAATCTAACCTAACTGGTATTTTAGTCATGCTGAAGTCGGTTACTGCCATTACTCGTAAGTATTCAAGTACACTAGTCACTGGTATCATCTCGCTTGTGCTTCAAACAGTGTATTCTATTTGGTTTATGATCACTGTAGTTGGCGTATATCAAACATATTATGATAGCTCAAGCACACAAACAAACTCCAAATTAAATGCAGCCATGGTCTTTCTGGTATTTTCCTTTTACTGGACATCTCAAGTTATTTCTTACGTCACTCATGTTACACTATCCGGCGTATTTGCAACTGTCTACTTCCTGAACAATCAAATTGCCCATCCCATCTGGGGAAGCGCAAAGAGAGCCTTGACCACCAGTTTTGGCTCCATCTGTTTCGGCGCTCTGTTAGTCGCTCTTATCAATACTCTTCGTTATTTCATTCAAGTTGCTAGATCCAGCTCCGATAACCCGCTCCTTAGCTTTGCTCTGTGTATCATCGAATGCATTGTGTCTTGTATTCAAGGATTATTTGTAAGTTTGTGTGTTTACAAGGCGTGACAAACTGGGATTTGTAATCTCACATGTCTTTGTTTTTTTTTTCTGTAGGAGTGGTTCAACCAATATGCTTTCAGTGGTGTTGCAATTTACGGTCAAGGATTTGTTCCTTCTGCAAAGCGCACTTGGTCTATGATTCAAGATCGTGGTATTGAGGCTATGATCAACGACAACCTGATTGGAAACGTTTTGGTGATGGGATCTTTACTTGTTGGTATCCTGTCTTCTTTGTTTGGCTACATTTATTTATTAGTAGTGAAACCATCCTATAATTCTACTGGTAATATGACGCCAATCGTCATGTTGATCTGTTTTATCATTGGTATGTCCATGTTCTCTACAGTGTCCACAGTTATATCTAGTGGTGTCACAACAACATTTGTCTGCTTAGCAGAAGACCCCGAAGCATTAAGGAGGTAAATATGATTTTATTGACACATGTCGTATATTAAATGTAACTAATCAACTTTTTTTTTGGCGTACAGGGTCAACCCCGAGCTATATGAAGCTGTAAGTTTTTTTTTTTTTGTGGACTTATGGTTTGGATAAATTTACTAAACTTTTACATAGATCCGTCGAACTTGGCCCCAGATCGTACAAGGTGTCTGAATATGTACAAATACGTGATTATCAAATCATGCAAATAAAATAAATGCCGTAGTCACATTACCTGAATACCATAAACATAGAGAATTGGAATCGAAAATACATTAAAGGGGAGAGTGAGATGACAATGATGGAGTTGGGCGAAGGGACAGTGCTAACAGGAAATTGTGATTAGTATGATCTTCAGGAGCATAATAACCCGAAAAGTTCGTAGCCATTAATTGGTTGTTATAAATTGAGTAATATAAATAATTTCTTTGGTGTGTTTAAAAAAAAATACTAAATTTACCACTGTAATTCTTATCGAGAGAAACCTGCCATTAATAAACGTTCATATTGCTAAAATGTTAAGCGTACTAATGTTTTGAATAAGCATAACTACTTGATTTTACGTCATTACGTTAAGATCCTAAAGTGCGCAGAGTACACTAACATAGTTGAATAAGTTTAAGGAAAATTAAAAGGAAACAAAGATCACTATTACATATATGCTTATTTCCATAAATGATATCCAATTGATTTTGATCGAAATTACACACATCTGAAAGGTACAATAGCCAAGTCAGAAAAAGGAGAGCCAAGCAAGGTAAATTATACCAAATGATCTATGTGATTTTCCACGTGTCATTCTAATACTAGGCATCAAAACGTTTCCAAGAACAAAGATTAACCTGCGATACACTTACTAAAATCCGATCGCATGAAGAAGAAGATCAAAGCAAGCTGGTGTTATCGGCATAGGTAAACTAACCAAGCTTGCAATGTTAATCTGACTAGCTATCATACACCATAACAAAATCTAAGACATATGCTACTTAGGGTCATCCCGTCTTCATATCCAAAACCAATACAGATCAAAATAAAAATCAAATCACAATATCAATCTAGAGATGATTGTGAACAAATTTATGCACCATCAATACGTGCAAATCATCAACCTGGATTTATAAGTTTACCATTTATTCAATATCAACATATGAAGGGTAAAGATTACACATAGATTTCGAGTAAGTATGCTGAATTATACGCGTACTTAAACATAGCTGATAAGTAATGTTATATTTTAGATATGCCTCAAAATTGAATTCTGCATCCAAGTCAAACATTGATCCCATGAAAGAAGCCTATGGATATTATATATATATATATATATATATAAACCTCCGTGCCGAAAACGCTTTTAGAAATGTGATTGATTAAAATTGTTTATTGTTAAAAATAATTTTGATGAAAATAATTAGATATTAAAGGTACACTATATGTCACAGGACTAAAAGGTGAAAGGTAATGTTTATCTTCTTCCTTTACGGTTCCAATAAACTAGACCGCCAAAGCAGAAAACGTTGAATACAAAGAATGCAATAACGATACCCAAGTTTCTCCATTTATTAGCAACATCCCAACCAAAGGAAGTCTCATAAAACTCGGCGCCGGACTTGAATGCACAATAGCCGCACAAATCAGGTTGCATGGCTTCAGGGTTAGCGATAGATCCAGTTGCTCCATAGGAAAAGAAGTTTTGAGTGTAGGCACCACAGGTTTGTCCAGGAGGTGGTAAGAATTTAACTAAATCCTTATCGCTGCATTCTGCTACAATATAACTTAATTCATTGACAGCCAGACCTTCAATAAAGTAATGAAACGGGTTCAGCCAGTACATCCAACTACTCCAGAAACGAGGCATAGACTTGGCAGGTTGCATAAACCCACAAAATAGAATAAATAAGGAAATAACTAATGGATTAACAACACCCGCCATCACGGGATTTTCCGCAACAGAGGCAATGACAAAACCAAGTGTAACAGCCCAGAATACAAAACACACCAGCATGATATAAAAGTAGCCTACAGCTTCAGAAACGTTAGTTAATCCAGCTGTCCAGTAAAAGCCGCACATAAAAAAGGCACCCAGCACCAATATATAGGGAATTTCGACAAGCACCACTGAGACAGTAAACGGAATCCATCCATAATATCGCGAAGCGTATTCTCTTCTAAAATACATTCTCTCTGTCATGAATTTAGGCTGTGCCAAGATAATCAGGATATTTGCCATGATGAAGGAAGCAAAAAGGGCAAAGGTTCGACTTTTCAGATCAGATACAGAATTACCCAATTTCCAGTAAGTGAAACCAGTAATCAAGGAGGTGAACATGATAGTGATGAAACGACCAATATTATAATCAGGTGAACGCCAGTATGCTAACGCCATACGTTTATGAACAAGGTAGAATTGAGTTTTAAAGGAAGTAGCATAAGTGAGGGCTTCACGTTGAGGGTTCTGATCAGCAACTTCATGAACGTGTTCCAATTCTTGACTTAATGCCTTGGATTCGGGAGAAGCAGCCCAAATATCAGCCCAGTCTTGTCTGGCTTTTCCAGCAGTGCCAGCACCGACAACCTCAAGAATATACTCAGCGGGGTTAGCATCAACAGAGCAGATAGGACCTCCATTCTTTTCAAAATAATCAATCATGATACGAGCATCTTCACCGATCTCGCCATGATATGCAGTTCTTCCACCGCGAACCAATAACAAAAGATGATCAAAATGATCAAACAAGATGGCCGAAGGTTGATGAATGGTACAAAGAACAGGCCAGCCAGCATCGGCTAATTTACGAATAAAACGAATAATGTTAAAGGAACTTTGAGCGTCAAGACCAGAGGTAGGTTCATCCAAAAACAGAAGTTGGGGTTTGCCCACCAGCTCCATACCAATCGTGAGTCTCTTTCTTTCTTCGACAGAGATACCAAATCCAAAGTCAACATTACCTACTTGGGCATCCGAAATATCTTCCATTTCAAGCAATTCAATAATTTGTTCAACATAGGCATCCTTTTCGGATTGAGGCGTTTCAGCAGGCTGACGTAAATTGGCAGAAAACTGAAGTGCTTCACGAACAGTAACAGCAGGTTGATGGACATCCATTTGCTCACAGTAGCCCGTGATACGTTCAAAGTCGTTGATCAAAGTTTCACCGTTTAAATAAAGACGACCGTCGACTGTACCAAGTGTTTTTCTTCGAGCCAGCACATCTAAAAGCGTCGTCTTACCCGCACCCGAGGAACCCATCAAAGCCGTCAAATGTCCTGGTTTTACAATGCCGCTAATGTTGTTCAATAGTTGAAGACTACCGCCCTTGATAGGAACAGAGTAATTGACGTCTTGCCAGGAAAACGTAGTACCAGAAGAAATAGCTTCCATCTTTTCAGAGTTTGTTGCTTGTCTACGAAGACGATTGGCTTCTTCTTCGGGTGTACGTTGTTTGGGTGCCTTTCCAGGAATGTAAAGCTTGGTCAAGGAACCTACTTTACTCACATCACTATATTCCATAGCGAGCGCTGTGATCAAGGTGAAAAGAATAAAGAAACCAACCACTGCGACAAAATCAGGAGCCCATAAGTCAGCGGTGTTCCACTGAAAGGTTTTCTTCAGATAGCTGTCACCTGTCACAAAATTTTCTCCCGGGTTACCGCCAGCCATAGTACAGACTTTGTAATTCCAGTCATCGTAACCGGGACCAAACGGAATAGCGTTTCCAGCGCCTTCACAAGAGTACACTTGGCCTTTCATTTCGTTCACCAAAAGTGTCTTGAAACCATAGCCGATAGGACTGATCCAATAAATCCAGGACAACCAGGGATGCATGTCACCATAAGAAATCACATAACCACAATACGTAACGATCGCGATAAGACACACACCGGCTGTTTGGGTTGCTAAAAAGAAACTTGATGTAACTGCGCCAAACATTCGGAAAAAGCCGTTCATGCACATATTAATGAAGAACAATCCAATAAAGAAGGTGAAAAATCTTCCAGCATCCAAATTCAGTCCCATCATAAAATAGGCGCAGATTTCAAATAAAAGTACTATGTATAGAAGTATTAGTTGAATCCAAAAGTCTTCTTTTGTTGTTCATTTTTCTTATTTTTTTACCTTGTGCAAATGCATAGGGAATATCCATAATGACTTGCGCCACATAAAATGCAGAAGGTCTGTATAATGCATACTGTTTATGTTTTTCCAGGACTGGTCTACCCATTAAAAAATGAATCAATTCAGATTGAGATACTAAAGAGTTGAATAACACCGAAAAAAAGATTGCACCGCCACGTGAGAAAGCACCGTTACCGTCACCCGGAATCTGATAGAAACAAGAAGCCATGATCAGAGATTGGATCAGAATAGTACCATACCGAGAGATAAGTGACGGTAAATCTTTAATCAAGAGATAATATTGACGAGCGGTTAAAGCAAGCACTTGCTGGTAAAATGAAGCAATATAAGGAGATCCTTTAGGCGCACGCTTTTGATGTTCTTGATCCATGGCTTCTTTAAAAGTCTCTGCAGGATTTTCTCTCTCCAAAACTTCTTCGTAGGCTTTTAATTCTTGCATCATGTCTTGATAAATAGACGATCCATAATAACATCTCTGGAAATCAGTTGCCAAGACAGGCACGGAATTTTCAAATCCAGGTATGATTTCACGTTCGATTGGGTTGCACAGGCCTGTTAAAAAATCAGGTATCGACTTTCGAGGTGGACAATAGAACCCAAGATCTTCAAAGTATCGTTTTGCTAATCTTGTAGGGCCAAAGTATAGGCAGTAACCATCATCCAAAAGCAAGACTTTGTCAAAGAGAGTAAAGATGTTATTTGATGCTTGATATAGTGTAGCTACCGTTGTCTTATGGAATACATCTGTCATGATGCGAAGTGACCGTACATAGTCTAATGCAGAGGCAGCATCTAGACCACGAGTGGAACAATCCCAACAATTAATTGTACTTTGTGTTGTCATTTGTTCTGCGATCGAAAGACGTTTTCGTTCACCACCAGAAAGACCACGAACAAAAGCATTTCCAACCATGGTGTGCATTTGCTTGGTGAGACCCAGCATATTACCGAGCATGTAGAGAACCTTATCAATAAACTCTTTTTTGGATTCGTTGGGTAAGCGCGTACCCGGAGTTTTGGTACGGAGTGCAAATTGTAATGTTTGTTTGGTGCTTAATGTAGGATAGTGCTGATCTTCTTCAGAATTATAGCATGTTTGGCCATGAAACTTGCTAGCAAAATGCTTCTGGTCAAATCCACCGTAGTTTACGGTTCCTTGAATATCCGTGAAAGAGCTGCGCATGTTTGAAATGATCTTTAATAAAGTAGTACATCCAGCTCCGGGGCGACCCAAGAGTAATAGCATTTCACCGTCCTTACAGAATCCAGAAAGATCTTTCAGAATAATCTTCACGCTTTTCTTGGTTCCGAAACCAAACAGTTTCCAGAATTGAAGGTTCTTAATGATACCACTGGTAACAGTAGGAATAGTATGAGCCTCTGCGCCTACACCCTATCATAAGTTTGTAACGTGAGTTACACATGAAAATGGATCTATTTTGATTCTTTAAAAATAAGATTTACCTCCACAGATAAATTTTTCCAAATTACACCCAAATGCTTTGGTTGATGTCCTGCTTGCCTTTGGTCATTTGACATGCCGTGCAAGAAGTCGCTAAGATTGAAATCGTCCTGATCGGCAGTTCCCTCTTCTAGCTTTCCTGATACTCTGGATGATTTACGACTGATATGAGACAGCTCTTGTTTCAAATCATAATATTCATCAAGTGCCGCTATAGAAATAAATGTTTTACTTAGACAACTATAAGATTCTTATTTTTTTTTTCCTCAGGTACCTTCGATATTGATCTCTTCTTTGCCTTCTCCAAATCCACCAGTGCTTACATAAACTTCACGAGGAGCCGCTTCTGCAACCATGCCTTCGTCTTGTGAATCAGAAACCAATATTTTCTTATCGTGCTGAAAGTGTTGGTCTGATTCTTTCATTTGTAATGTAATCTATTCAAAAACAAAACAAGCTCTACAAGAAAAAGTCTTAATTTGTAGAAAATAAAAAAGAAAAGAAGAACAATTTTTCTTCGATATTTATAGACTCGATTCAAAGTCGAAATGAGCGTTCGGGCAGAAATTACCCGTACTTCTTGATGCTTTTTCGGATTAAACTGTGTAACTTTACATGCTGATCTAACAAAATCTTAAATGCCCCCCATAATGCGCGCGCACATATTAAGCGAAAAAATATAAAAGTTAATTTTTTAGGTTTAAATACTCTGTCAAAAAAAAAAAAATGCCCTAAAAATAATGCTGCGGAAAGACTGTTTTTATGTGGAAAGGCTGTTCTGCATGATTGACTTCACAAAATTTAATTAGTTAATTATAAGCAACGTCTTAAAGGAGGTAAGGGGTCTCTTTGCGACGTGAACAGCTGCCCGGGAACGACAAAAATTAGAAATTACCCAAGACAATGATAAGATACAAAATTCGTGACAATCAGCGTCCATTTTCATGCCATACACATGTTAAATGTGTTATACATGTCATACAAGAACTAAATAAGATAGCGCAGCCATTTAACTTACGGATAAAATTATGGACTATTAACAATCTCGGCATAGCCAAAAACAAAAATAAAAAACAAATACGGTTTCGGGTAGTTACAAATCCGAGTTCTCTGATTTACGATGGATGTCGGCTAGTCAGAAACCCAGATTGGTAAAAGCGTGTAACCACACAGAAATCACTACAGACCACCCAGACAGTTTGACAGAAATAAGACATATATGATAGATTTTTTTATTTTTTTTTGTTTACAAAATATGGATGTCAAAGTGATTTTTTCCTCCACATTACTATATGTACTAGATTTTTTTTATGTAAAACAAAAAAAGAGAAGATATGAATTTGAAGGTAGTGTCGTTAATGTTGTTGTTGATGAGATACAGAGAGCAAAAAAGAGTAAGAATAGAGGGAAATAAAAAACAATTTTAAACAATAATGAGAGTTGTGGACAAATTCTAATATTTAATAGACAAGCTTCTCATCCTACAAAATTAAAAGGGTTAGACGTCAAAATCATTTACTGCATTCTTTGTTGTATATATTTACCAAATCCTTAGCAGCGGAATGACACTCATCGTATAATTCCTTATAGTCGGCAGCAGCCTTCATGTCCTTACCCTTACCACCGAGAACAATCATGGTAACAGAGGTGGGACGCTTGGTAGAAGAGGCTTCACCTAATTCCTCCTTGGAGGGAACAAAAACATAGGGGACGTTGGAGTCTTCACAGAGGACGGGCATATGAGAAATAACATCCAAAGGAGAAATATCACCAGCAATGATGACAAGACCCTTCTCTCCCTTACGGAGAGCCTTACCGACTTCCTTAACACCACGACGAACGTGCTTAACCTTACTGGCTGCAAACGTTAAAGAAAAAATTGTTTAGTGAGGTGTCAGATTAATGATTAACGAAATTTACCCTTCTTGATGGTCTTGTAAAGCTTCTTAACGAGCTTCTTTTCAGCTAAAGGGTGAGCAATAGGAGATTGGAAACGAGGGGTTTCTTCTTCGTTGTCAGAACCTTCGGTCTTGGCGACCTTGACCTTCTTCTCTTTCTTTTGTTCTTTGGCCATTGTTTAAAAATAAAAAGTTTTGGTTATATGTACGGAAACTTCAAAAAAAAAAATTAGAATGGGTTTGAAGGAAAAAAAAATACTTTGTGACTGCCCGCCATTTAAATTTTAAAAAGCCACCAAACATACCACAGCACACTTTGCTGGGACTGATTTTAACAACAATAGTTTTGCATGTTGTGCTACATACATGACGATGGTTGATGGCTGGCATAGAATGACGGATATCGAACAGCTTCTTTTATTTATTTTTTAGCTCCACTACCATTCCTCTGATTTTGCTTCCATTCCACCAACATTGGGAACAGAATCATTACTCCAAAGGCTTCCAACTAAACAATTCCATTACAGAATGCTGTTTCATAATAATTTAATCAAAAATATTTGTTGCTTTTATCCAGGCTTTTTAAAAAACCATGGCAACAAATGTTACCAAAGGAAATCGCGCGGAAAAATCAAATAAGCAATATCCAATGCGTGGATAATAATGCGAAACACACGCGTAGTTTGCAGCAGCAAAGAATATGTATAAGAAATATATTTATTTAAATGGAGGCACAGCAATGGTGAAGGCCAAAAGCACAACTTTTAAAAGTTACCGAAATACCG